TGGTACTACAAAAAAAAAAAATTGATTGGGCCAGGGATGTAGCTCAGTGGTTTCACCACCTGCTGTGCAAGTGCAAGGACCCGAGTTTGATCCCTGGTACCAAAAAACAACAACAACAACAAAAAAAAACTTAAAAAAAAAGAGAAGGGAATGGAATTAATATGAGAAAAAGAAAAAATGGAAACAAAGTCTTTGTAAATAGGGAGGGATGGGGCCAGGGATTTAGCTCAGTGTTTCCACTGCCTGCCTTGAAAGCAGAAGAGCCTAAGTTTGATCCCTGGTACCAAAAAAAGAAAAAAAAGCAGGGAGGGATGGAAGAGTTGAAGAGAGGGCAAGGGAAGGGGGAAAAAATAAGAACCAAGAGTGATTATATAAAGGTGCAAATTTCAATGATGAATGTCATTATACTGTATACCTAAAATGTAAATGTACCAATAAAATAAAATTTTTAAAAAATTATGGCATGAAAAAAATTTTTTGCTGTTGTCAGAAAGGCATCACCTGTAAAGTTTGGGCTGAAGAGAACTTTTTTGTTTTTTGTATCTGGGATTGAACTCGGGTCCTTGCACTTGCACAGCAGGTGGCGAAACTATTGAGCCAAATCCCCGGCCCCCCAAAGAGAACTTGATAACTGAAAAGATTGACATTAAAAAAGAAGCCAAGTACTTTGGATCAGGAGAATAGGAAAGATGGCTTGAAGACCTTTCAGAAATGTCCAGATCCCACCCTTCACAGGTTCAAGATTGTAAAAGCGTAAACACCTTTAAAAGATTTTGCTTTGAGAAGACAGCCCCAGGGCATCCTGCTCATTCAGGTCCACAGAAGGAAATGTTTCCCTAAATTCAGTAATCTAGACACTCAGAGGCCTCTGCAGCCACAATCCACGGGGGCCCAGCTACTGCTCCAGCTGGTGGTAGACCTTGGGATCATTCACATGGTGCTGGATTTAGGCACATGCAGAGTGCAGGAGTTGTGAGGTCAGAGAGGCTTCCATCCATGTTTCGGAAGGCTGGGAGGCCAGGCAGTGTGTCCCTGAGAGGGCAGTGTGTGAAGCTGTGAGTGTGAAGCCAAAAGTGCAATGGAGACCCCAGAAGTTTGGAGAAGGCAGGAATATGCATCATTTGATGAGGAAAGCTTCAGGCAGTGAGAAAAGCCACCCCAGGACAGAAGCTATGTGGGCTGCAACTGGCAATGCCAGGGAGGCAGGGATCCCCAAGCCCTTTGGAGCTCAATCTTGCCACAACCTGCCTTGGGTGCTGGACATGAAACTACAGGATTTAATGTTTTCCCTGATGGTTTTCAGTCTTGCCTCGGTCTCATTCCTTCCTATCTCCCTATTTTTACCTTTTGTAATGGGAAAGTTAACCCTGTGCCATTGTATTTTGGAGGTATTTAACTTTTTAATTTCATTTTCTTTTTTTGGTACTGGGGATCGAACTCCAGTCCTTGCGCTTGTGAGGCAGGCAGCGGAGCCACTGAGCTAAATACCCGGCCCCAACTTTTTTATTTTTGCAGGGGCTCAGAGCCAAGAGTTTGCCTTGAGACTCAGAAGAGACTTCAGACTTGGACTTTTTAGCACTTCTGGAAGTGTTAAGATTTTGCTGCCTCGTAGAAATGGACTAAATGTATTTTGCATAATGAGATGGACAAGAGCCTTGAGGGGGGACAGGGGCAGAATGCTATGGTTTAGATCTAAAATGTTGCCCCAAAGTCTCACAAGTGTGGAAGTTGATGGAATTGTGTAGCACTATGCTCATCGGTGGATTCATCCACAACTGGTCTTAGAAACTGAATGTGCTGTTAGGGGCCAGGTTGGAGCCAGCAGTAGGGTGTGACGTGGAAGGGTACACTCTTGTCCCCGGCTCCTCCCTTTTCTGTCCTTCCTGGTTGCCATGGGATGAGCAGCTTTGCTGTGCCAGGCCTTTCCACTGTGTATTTCTGCTCTGGAACCAGCCAGCTTTGGACTAAACCCACTGGAAACTGAGAGCTAAATAAAGCTCTCCTCCTTAAAGTTGTGGGTGTTGAGCATTTTGTCCCTGTGATGAGAAAGTGATGGAGACAGATAGATAATAGATAAAGGCAGTGCATTCCCAGAGAGGGATATTACTCAGCCACCAAAAAAGGTGAGTTTCCGGCACACTCAGCAACACAGAGAGAAGCCCACGGCTAGGTCAGGGAAGCCAGTGTCCCCGATGCATTGGGGACAATTTCATGGATGCCACATTCTCAGAAAGATAAAAACCATAGCAACAAAGGCAGAGCAGCAGTTGGCAGGGGCTGGGGGCGGGTGGAGGGTGTGGCGAGGAAGCTGTAGCCTGCAGAGGGAGTTTTTTTGGGTGATAGAACTGTACTCTGAAGCTGGTTTTTATGCTAATTTACATCCATCAACACATTTGCAAAAATTCCTAAAGTGGTGCACACAAAAAAAGTGAATACGGCATGATGTAAATTTCAATTTTTTTATTTGTTTGTTTTTGAGACAGGGTCTCATAATATAGCCCAGGCTTCCCTGGAACTCGAAGCAATCCTCCTGCCTCAGCCTCCCAAGTGCTGGGATCATAGGTGTGCCACCAATGACTGGCTGGCACTATATAAATATTAAAAATTAGGGCTGAGAGGGCCGAGGATTTAGCTCAGTGGTTCTGCTGCCTGCCTCGAAAGTGGAAGGTCCCGAGTTCGATCCCCGGTACCAAAAAAAAAAAAATTAGGGCTGAGCCAGGAAGATGACAAATTCAAGGCCAGCTGGGGTAACTTGTTGACTTAGCAGGATCATGTGTCGAAATTTTTTTTTTTTTTTTTTGGTACCAGGGATCAAACTCGGGAACTTGCGCTTGCGAGGCAGGCGCTGGAACCACTGAGCTAAATCTCCAGCCCTGTCAAAATTTTTAAAAGGGCTAGGAATGTAGCTCAGTGTAAAGGCCCTGGGTTCAGTCCACAGTAGTGTAGAAAAGAAGGAAGGAAGGAAGGAAGGAAAGAAATGGGAGCGGCTGGGAGTGTAGTTCAAAGTGCTTAGCGTGTCTGAGGTCCTAGGTTCCATTCCCAGCCCTTTTTAAATTTTGTTTTGAGACAAGGTCTTGCTACTTTGCCCAGACTGGGCTCACACTTATAATCCTCCTGCCTCAGCTTCCTGAGTACCTGGGATGACAGATGTGAGTCACTGTGCCTGGCTGAATTTGCTGTTTTGTTTTTTAAAAATGTTTTAGTTACACACATGTTCACGCTTGTATTCCCAAATGAACTCATAAAACTTGGCCAAGTATCCAGGACTTCACCCAGCTTGTGGACAGGAAGTGGCTTTGCCTGTTTGGGGAAGTAGAAAGGCATTTTAATTTCAAGTTGGAGAATTGAATGCCCACCAGGGGGCCACCCAGGGGGCTGGAGGGAGGGAGCTGAGTTCTTTATTGTGAGGCCAGTAGAAGCCAGGGACAGCGTTTAGAGTGAGGGTTGGACCTTCTGGGAGTCTGGTACCCATCCTGGACATGGCCAGTGGGTCCCCAGCCCGTGGCTCAGCCCTTTCTGCTCCACAGCTGCCATCCCTGACCCTCTGGGGCCTCAGGGGCATCCGGTTGCGGGTGAGGGGAAGGCGGGCAGGACAGTGCCTCCTGGCCCCGGTGACCCTGCGAGGCCCTATCACACACCCCATCTGCCATCCGCAGTGAATCAACAGCCAGAAAACCGCAGTCTGTTCCTTCTCATAGGCCGGGGCAGGCGTGGGCCCGTCAACAGCAGTGCTGGGTGGGGCGGGAGGGACCGTTGCTGTGCCAGCCGCTGTGTGGCCGTGGGCTCCCACTCTCCCTCTCTGAGCCTCCCGGGTGCCTGGCCTGGGAGAGTTGAGACCTTGCCTCTGATTTGCCCGATTGTGGTGACTCTCCAGAGCTGCTCACAGTGGGTTTGCAGGGAGACAGAGGCACAGACGGAGCCACCTACACTCTGCCTCTGAGAGTCTCCCAAGGGCTCCCCCAGACTCCCCAGCCTACTCTGAGGGCCCTGGGTCCCAGGGGGTTGTGGCAGGGAGGTCTCTTGGGCGGGTCTCTTTGCTCCCCAATTCAGCTCCCAAGTCTTTTATGCTCAAAGGGACTTGCCAGTCTGACTCCTCCAGGTCCAAATGTCATTTTGTCTGGGACCCTCTACTTTTTTGTTTTTTTTAGACAGTGTCTCACTGGGCTTGAACTCACTATGTAGCCCTGGCTGGCCTCAAACTCATGGTGATCCTCCTGCCTCAGCCTCCTGAGTGCTGGCATGACAGGTGTGTGCCACTATCCCTGGTTTAGATCCCTTGTTTAACTGCTTCCAACTGCACTTCCCCCAATATCTTCATTCTCTTTTTCTCACAGAATTTATCTCTGTTTAGCTGTGGGGTGTAGATCAGTGGTGAGCTCTCACCTTGCAGGCAGGAGGACCTGGGTTCCATCCTCAGCACAACAAAAACAAAGCAAAACAAGCCTGGTGTGGGATCCATACCTGTCATGGCAGCTACTAAGGAGGCTGAGGCAGGAGGATGACAAGTTTGAGCCCAGCTTGGGCAACTTAGGGAGAGTCTGTCTCAAAATAAAAAATAAAAAGGGCTGCGGGTGTGGCTTACTGTAAGTGCCTGCCTGTGATTGTTTTCAGTTTTGTTTTTTGTTTTTTGTTTTTTGGAACTGGGGATCAAACTCCGCTCCTTCTGCTTGCAAGGCAGGCAGTGGAACCACTGAGCTAAATCCCTGGCCCTGTTTTCAGTTTGTTTTCTCTCTCTCCCTGGCCAGAATGCTGGGCCAATCCTGTCTTTGTCCCCATTGTGTCCTCGGTGTCCAGAACCAGGCCCAGTCCACAGTCTTTATTTTGAGACAAGGTCTCACTAAGTCTCGGGGTTGAAACTTGCGATCCTCCTGCCTCAGCCTCCCTGCGTGCCGGATGGCAGGTTGCAGCCCTCAGCAGGAGACCTGACGTCAGCTCCTAATTGGCCCCGGGGAGGGTTGACACTCTGGGCGGTGTCAGCAGCCTGGCGAGGTGGGGTGGAGGGGCCACCCTCCTCCAGAATGAGGAAGGAGGCTGGGCGGCCACTGAGATCTTGCTCACGCTCACGGCTGTGCTGTGGTGAGCCTTCCCGCGCTCGGCCGACCCTCTGCGACGTGGCCTCGGCTGGCCGGAAGCCTCAAAGCCAACCTGTTGGGCCAGGTCCGGGCAGGTTAGGGTGGGCGGGAGCTTCCTCCCCTCCGCCCTCTTCGTCCCCACCCGGTTCCCAGCAAGAAGGCCTCACTGCAGGCCCAGCAGGCACCCCGGGGCCCCAGGTGGGCACGGTACAGTCCTTGGGGGGCGGCCGGGCTGGGGGGCCCTGCGCAGCAAGGGGCCGGGGCGATGCCCCCTGGTGCGCCCTGAGGCACCCCACCATGGCCCGCTCGCTGGCCTGGTCCTGCTGCCCCTGGTGCCTGACGGAAGAGGAGAAGACCGCGGCCAGGATCGACCAGGAGATCAACAAAATTCTCCTGGAGCAGAAGAAGCAGGACCGCGGGGAGCTGAAACTGCTGCTGCTGGGTAAGCACAGGACCCACCTGGAGGGGACCGAGGGACGAGGCTGGGGGGACAGACACACAGCACCCGGGGCGAGGAAGATCCTAGGCTCCCATTTTCCGGATGAGAATACTGAGGCACAGAAAAGCCAAGTTGCTCATGGGAGCTGTGAACGGTGGCCTCCTGGGTCCCCTGTTCAGGACACAGGCGAGACCAGAGGTGGCTCTGATGTGTGGCCCAGTGGGGGCTCCAGGGCCAGCTTCCAGGCAGGCCCAGCATGCCCCACGCCTGTGTCATGGAAAGGGAATGATGTGCTCCCTCAGTGCACAACCTGCCCAGCCGGCTGCCCAGCCACAGGGAGGGGCCGCTCCAGACTTCTCCTCTGTCTCCAGACGGGAGGGCACCCAACTCTCCCTGGCATCCGTATCCCCTGCATGGCCAGGGTGGGCTTGTCTGGGGTTTGTTCTGGGGCAAGATTGATTGGGTCATTCATTCATTCATTCAAGATTTGTTGAATTAATTCCTAGGTACCTGGCAATGGAATTTGTTTTGCTTTGGTTTTTGAGACAGAGTCTCACCGTGTAGCCCAGGCTGGCCTTGAACTCAGTATGATCTTCCTGTCTCAGCCTCCCAAATGCTGGGATGACAGGCATGTGCCACCACGCCCAGCTAGCAATGAAAATTATCTACGTCCACGTGGATCACTCTTCCAGTGAAAGAGACAGTCATTAACCAGGACAAGGGAGTAAGCAAATAAAAAAAATTGGCCTGGATCCCCCTATTTATCTAAAATAATAAATAATGCCTATTGATGTGTCACATATGGTGCCTATGATAATAGATACGTAGAGACCACATCTATTAAAGTGAGGAAGAGATGACTATTTAACTATCGATATTGAAGAAATTGTTGGGTGTTTTTGTACTAAGGATCGAACCCAGGCCTTTGCACTGACCTCCATCCCCAACTCTTTTATTTTTTATTTTGAGACAGGGTCTCCTTAAGTCTTCAGGTTGCCCAAGCTGGGGTGAACTTTTCTTTTCTGTCCTCCTGCCTCACCCTCCTGAGTATCTGGGACAACAGCTGTGGGCCTCCAGGCCCAGCTCCACGCTTGGTCCCTTTCTTTGCTGGCCCAGTAGAGAGGGGTTTATCAGTTTGAGGACCTGTCCTTAAACAAAGTGGTCCTGCCCTGTCCACTGCTCTCTGCCTCCCCTGCCAGCCACTGCCCGGTGGCCCTTTCACCCCCGTGGGTTGCAGCCACAGGGCCGCCTCCCCAGAGAAGTCTTCTCTCGATACCTGGCCGTCCAGACAGCGGATCCCCTCCTCCCTCTGCCTGATGGCTTCACTGTGCGCAGTGGCGGACATCCACGTGTTCATTTGCTAAGCTGTCACCTGCCATAGGGACCTTGTCTGTCTTGCTCATGCGTGTCGCAGGCCACAGCTGTACACTGAGCCTGATGAATAGCAGGTGCTCAATAAATGCTCACAGCCGGGAGCAGTGGTGCATGCCTGTCATCCCAGCCCCCAGGGAGGCTGAGGCAGGAGGATTGCAGGTTCAAGTCCAGCCTGGGCAACCTAGGGACTTAGTGAGACCCTGTGTCAAAATCAGAAATAAAAAATCGCTTCTTGGCCTTTTGGCTAAGATCAAGTGTAATAAAAAATAAAAAAGGCCTGGGGGGTGTGGCTCCGTGTGAAGGTCCTGGGTTCCATCAAAAAGTAAGTCCCTAAATGCGTATGAGCGAGTGGATGGATCCTGACTTAGGGGAGAGCTCCTGACATTTCTTCACGTCTTCTCCCACTCGGGGAAACTCCCTGAACCAGGCCATCCCACCCCAAGCCAAAAAGACCCTCTGTCGGGGCTGCCCTGGGTGCTGGCCGCGGCAGTCCCTGCACTGGGGTTGCCTCTCCACCTGCCTTCCTGCCCAGAAATAGGAATGGAATCCAGTTTTTTCTCCCCACAGGCGGCTGAACTTCTTTGAGGAAGTTGCCCAGGGGAGGCTGGGAGGGGAGGGCCCCGTGTGGGGGACATTTGCCCGAGCATGAAGTCATCACCATGTTGGGGGGTCAGGAGAAGCTGTGGAAGCCAGCCCTGTCTCCAGCACATGGGATGGACTTGAGCCAGAGAGGCACAGTGACTTCTCCAAGGTCACACAGCACTGATTCTGGTTCCAAAGTTGATCCTGTTCCTTTGTGTCTGGGAGAGAAAAGCCACAGTCACCCACCGACAGATGGGGAAACTGAGGCCCAGGGAGATGCCAGCATTTGTCTGGGGTTTGCAGAGTGTGAACTAGAGGTGGAGACAGGAACTGAGCCTCCTGCCCTGTCCCCACTCCAGCTGCCCTGGGCCTGGCCCTCTGCGTCCCCAGCCACTCTGTGTCCTGGGACCTGGGGCTGGCAAGGGGCTGGGTCCTCGTGACAGCTGGGGCTGGGCACAGTGCGGTCATTCCTTCCTGGCATCACCCAGTTCCACTTCCTCCTCCGACTCCAGGAGGAAGCAGCCACTTCCTGTCTGGCGTGCTCGGCCACCAGGTGGGAATGGCTCTTTCCGCAGCACCCTGCCCCGCCCCTTCCGGAGTTTCCTGGAGCAGACCATGCCCCCATCGCTGCTCCACGCGGGGGGAGCCCCAAACCCTCGAAGCTTTAGGACAGTGCCAGGCTTTAAAGACAGAATTCTAGTGGCGATTTTGGCTTTTTGAGACAGATTTTCGCTATGAAGTTCAGGCTGGCCTTGAACTCGCAGCAAACCTGCCTCAGCCTCCTGAATACTGAGATCACAGGCCTGTGCTACCATGCTCAGCTAGTGGCAATTTTCTAGAATGTTTTTATTTTCAGCATTGGGGGTGGAACCCAGGAACTTTGCATTGAGCTTCATCCTTAGCCCTTTTTTAAATTTATTTTTTATTTTGAGACAGAGTTTTGCTAAGTCACTAAGTTGCCCAGGCTGGGCTCAAACTTGCAATCCTCCTGCCTCAGCCCCCCTGAGTGCTGGGATGACAGGCCTGTGTCACCATACCCAGCTTTTTTTTGTTTTAATGAAACGGAAGAGAAAAAAAAATCAGAATAGTGAAACAACAGAAAAGTAAATGGTGGTCAGGTTAGACTGCTGCTTCTTCCCTACCCTTTAGGGGAGACCCAAGTTCTGAAATTTCCAGTGGGTCCAGTCCCCAGCTGTCGGTCTCAGTGCTGGCAGCACCCAGGCCAGCTGTCTTAGGTCCCAGTGTCCACAGAAACGTGGCACTCACTGACACATGGCTGCTGCCTGACCCTGCCCCAGTGGTGAGGCCCATTTTGGGACCTGGATTATTCTCTGGTCCTCCCCTAGCTGTGTGACCCCAGGCCGGTCACTTGATGTCTCTGATCCCTGTGTCTCTTTTATAAATGGCAAAATAGCAAAAAATCTACTCTGTCTCTTGGTTGGCAGTTCAATCCTTTTCACTGTGATTAGTACTGTTATTAAGCTGATCCAGGCAGGGTAAGGGGAGTTTCCAAGTGTCATCCTAGAAGGGGGACTATAGTTAGCAATGTTGGATAAATCAAAATTGCTGGAAGAGGTGGGCACAATGGTGCACCGCTGTTTTCCCAGCACTCTGAGAGGCTGGGGGAGGAGAGTCCTGAGTTCAAGTTCCGGCTGGGCAACTTAGCGAGACTCTGGCTCAGAATAAAAATGGCTGGGGATGCAGCTCAGTGGTAGAGCAACCTAGGCTTGATCTGGAGTATCATGAAGGAGAAAAAGCTGCAGGAGAGGATTTTGTTTCCATCCCAAAGACGCAACAAGCCTCTGAAGGTGGATAATCAGCTGTCATTCCGTGATGTTCACACTGTGGCCATAAACACCTGAATGTGTTACCTGTCCATTAAATATTAATTCATTAATTCCAAAAATCGAAGCTCAGGTACTTGGGACTCAGGCAGGACCAGGTTGAGTTCCACTAATCAGCTTCATGACCCTGAGCAGTTCCCTCCGCTAGCCTGAGACTCAGTTTCTCCATTTAACAAACACCCAGGAGGCAGGAGTCCTGTTCCTCTCACTCCCAAGTAGGGCGAGATGGAGCCTCTTGGACTCTTAGGAAATCAATTGCAAAAAAATGATGATAACAATAAATAAGCCAAGTGTTGTGCCGTACGCATGTAATCCCAGTATCAGGCAGTAGAGGCAGGAGGATCTTGATGAGTTCAAGGCCAGCCTGGGCTACATAGCAAGATCTTGCCTCAAAAAGCGAAATAAATAAGTAAATTCTGAGCCTCAAGCCGGTGACCAGCAAGCTCAGGGCCACCTCGCTGTGGCCAAGTGACCAAATCTCCCAAGCCCAGCGGGAGACCCAGGTCTCCCCGTGAGGGAGGCTGTGGGTTCCTCTCCCTATCACAGCCTCGTGTCCCTGCAGGTGCGTTGGTGACTCTGGTGTGTGCTTGTCTTGGAGTACAGTAGGCTCTGGAATCCAAGACCCAAACGGCTCATGATGGGGACTTTCAGATGTGTGCCTGGGGCCTCCTTTTCATGCAGCACTGGGGCTGAACCCAGGGCCTTGGTACTGAGCTCCATCCCCAGTCTGTTTTAGTTTGTATTTTGAGACGGGGCCTCACCAAATCACAAAGTTGCCCAGGCTGGGCTCCAACTTGCAATCCTCCTGCCTCAGCCTCCTGAAAATCTGGGATTGTAGAGATGCTCCACTGCCTGAGGCTTTTTTGCAATCTCTTTACAAAGAAAGAACCATAACCTGCAAACAAAAGTATTAGAACTGTACAATGGGTCAGGGATTTAGCTCAGTGGTTTCGCTGCCTGCTGCGCAAGCGCAAGGACCTGAGTTCGATCCCCGGTACCCCCCCCTCAAAGAACTGTACAAATCACAGGAAATGTAAAACGGTGTTGGCTGTAACAAGCAGGCAGTGGCTGGATTCAGCCGGGGGCTGCCGGGGTTGTGGACTCTGCCCAAATGGCCTCGTGAAGTGAATTGATTTAATTCTCACCCACAGCAATTCTGGGGCAGGGCCTATTGCTGCTCCCCGGGTACAGGTGGGGAAACGGAGGCTCGGGGGAGTAGCATCCATGGCCCATGGCCCCAGTCCCCAGGGGAGGCCTGGCTGGCTTGGGATTGGGAGCCAGGTGTTGGGGGCTGGAGGAGGCGCCCGGCCGGACCCTGACAGCTGAGCCATGCGCGGATCCCCAGGGCCTGGCGAGAGCGGGAAGAGCACGTTCATCAAGCAGATGCGCATCATCCACGGCGCTGGGTACTCGGAGGAGGACCGTAAGGGCTTCCGGCCGCTGGTCTACCAGAACATCTTCGTGTCCATGCAGGCCATGATCGAGGCCGTGGAGCAGCTGCAGATCCCCTTCGGCAGGCCCGAAAGCAAGGTGAGCCTGGCCTAGGCTGCCCGGCCGGCCATGTCCCCAGCCAGCGGGGAGGGAGCTCCTGGGCATCGTGGCCAGGGCGCCACCCAGACTACATGTGTCTGACTTTTTAATTCACTCTGCTCCAAGGAATCTCAGAGGAGAAGAGGATGGGTGGCACCTGCCCTGGGCGGCTGATGGGAACATGGGAGGCCTTGAAATTGTCAAAGTGAACTCATGCCTGTCATCCCAGCACTCGGGAGGCTGAGGCAGGAGTATTGCAAGTTCCAGCCCAGGCTGGGCAACTTAGTGACTGGGTGAGGCCCTGTTCAAAGCAAAACATAGAAAGGGCTGGGGATAGAGCTCGGTGGGAAGGCCCTGGGTTCTGTCCCCAGTGCCAATAAGATTTTTAAAAAACTGTCCTGGGGGAGGAGCCAGACTCCAGGGCCGATGTCCCAGCCTGGTCTCTGCTGAGTGACCTGACCACTACCTCTGTCCCTCTGGGTGGTGACAGGCACCGGTGTGGGCACAGCATGTGGCCTCTGACACAGTGTGAGGCGAAGCCTGGAGTCTATGCTGGAGCCGGGACACAGGGCCACTGACTGCAGGACCCACACCATGCAAGTGGCTTCTTTGCTCTGTCCCTCAAAAGGGAGACGACCCTGATGACTCACCTCAGAGGAGATGCTCCACATAAGGAGCGACCAGGCATTGGGTGCTCAACACCTCTTTCCATCCTGCTGTTGTCACTCAGCCCTGGCTCGCCTGAGCATGGCAGCTCTCTGTGGCTTCCCTTATGTGAACCAGACTCCAGGAGAAGAGGTCTTCCTGGAGAAGGGGGATTAGTGTTGGGGTGTTGAAGGATGAATGGGAGTTCACTAGTCCCAACTCTCAAGGCCTTCCCTCTGTAGGTCAGTGCATGCACCAAGGGTTCGGGAGCAGCCAAAAGAGGCACCTGGAGGACAGAAGGCAGAGGGAGAGTGTTCTGGGGACAGGTTTGCAGAGAGGTCTGGAGGTACCTCCCTGCAGGGTGCCTAACCCTCCCTGTGCTTTCCACCCCAGCACCATGCCAGCCTGGTCATGAGCCAGGACCCTTATAAAGTGACCATGTTCGAGAAGCGCTACGCTGTGGCCATGCAGAGTCTGTGGCAGGACGCAGGCATCCGGGCATGTTATGAGCGAAGGCGCGAGTTCCACCTGCTGGACTCTGCTATTTAGTGAGTTTGGGGCCTGCGTGTGGGAGGGGCCGGGGATATGGGAGGGGCCTGGGCGTGTGGGAGGAGCCAGGAGGCCTGGGATCCCCAGGGAGTGCGGGAGGAGCCGGTAAAAATGGGAGGGACCAGGGCCATGGGAGGAGCCAGGTCTAATGGGTGGGCCCAGGGGAGGCAGACACTGGGCGGGGCCAGACGCTGCGATAATACAGTGACCCCCACCCGGCCTGCATTCTGGATCCCCTGGCTCCTCCCGGTGCTCTGGGAGCAGACCTCTGTGGGCGGGTCCTGTGCCAGGGCGATGTCTGTCTTGGGGGCCTAGTTTCCCGGGTGACGCCGGATGTCCAGGGTGATTTGGTGACTGGGGAAAGGGTCTTCAGGGTGCTGTCTTTCTTGGGACGACCCATCCCTGAGGTCGCGCTGCCTCTCACTCCCTGGGGGGTTGGCTCCGTGCTGTCTATACCCCCCAGAGCTCCCCTCCCTAGTCTTTGCTGGGCCCTGCAGGGTTAAGAGCAGTAGAGGCAGGCTGGCTGCAGGTCCAGGCCTTAGTGCACCCTGTCCTGCAGCTACTTGTCCCATCTGGAGCGCATCACTGAGGAATGCTACATCCCCACTGCCCAGGATGTACTGCGGAGCCGCATGCCCACCACCGGCATTAATGAATACTGCTTCTCTGTGCAGAAAACCAACCTGCGGTGAGCACTCAGCCGGGGTCTATTCTGGGGTTTGGCTTATATAGGGGACCAAAGAGCTGGGGCTCTGAGGGATGAGTAGTAGTTTGCAGGCCTCAGGTTTCAAGGACCTGCCAGGCCAAAGGAGGCAAAGCAGATGCAAAGACATCTTCAGCCCCTTGTATAGTCAGGACTGGCACCTGGAGGAGTCCAGAGAGAGGCACAAGTGTTCCAGGAGAAGAGGGTTTCCTGGAGAAGGGACATTGGTATTGGGATGGTGAAGGATGAATAGGAGTTCACTAGTCCCAACCATGAAGAGGATGCTGAGGAGGAGGAAATAGAGACTGTGTGGTCAGGACTAGAGCAGAGGGATGACCCCAGGGCTGGGTGAGCTAGGAGGATGGTCTCTATAGTGGTCACTGTCAGGGTGGACAGAGGGACTGAGGCTGGAGGAGGCCAGCAGACTCTGGAGAGCCAGGAGGACTGGTCAGGGCTGTGGGGAGAGAAATGAGGGATGGTGCAGAGGGGCCAGGACTGGGTCACGTGGGATTAGAGAAGGGAAACGGACTTGGGAGCTTTGTGCCACAGCTGGTGGGGTGGGTGGTGACAGGAGAGACCGTGAGGCCCCTCGGGGAAGACTGAGTCTGAGGGCTCTGAGGGTGACGGAGGTGCCGGGGCCACGGGTCTGAGCTGAAGAAAGAGGGTGAGGGATGCAAGGATGGGGGCCTGGGTGGGAATGGGGGGCTGGATGATCCCAGTGGGAAGGCTGAGCTGAGGCGAGCTTTCCCTGGGGAATCTTGGAGGTGCTCTTCGGCCAAGGAGAAAAATCTAGGGGATGGAGGGAAGGCCCAGAGGACACTGAGCCTCTGGGGGAGGCGACACCCTCAGGCCGTGGCCAGCAGGCCCAGGCTGCACCTCTGTCTCTGCCTCCACCGCCCTGCTGTCAGCCACCGCTCCCCACCTCACGCCAGAAATGGGGCTGAGGGACTCAGAGGGGCGTGGGAAGAGCCGGGGCCCGGGTCAGGTGAGGCAGATGCTGAGTCACGGGCCTCGGTTTCCCCTCCTGTCCCCCTGGGCCAGTCCCACTGCCTGAGGCTCTGCCAGGCTCGTCCCAGCCTGTGCTGTCGGGCACTTCCTGAGTAACGGCTGCTCCCTGCTCCCCGGGGAAATGATTCAGCGATCTTATCAGTGACCCAGTTTCTGAGAAGAAACAGCAGGAGTGGGGGCTCCGCTTTTGTTGTGGCGAGTGAGGTGCACCGACAGGCAGCGCAGAGTCTGGGGACAGCCCTCCCTCTGCCCCACGACGCCAGCTGACGCTGGCTGCCCCCCCCCCCCGTGGCCAGTCAGGCTCAGAGGCCCCATTTCGCCCTCAGGGAAACTGAGTCCTGAGGATAACTGTCAATCTCCCGTCCCTGGGGCAAGTTCATATACTTCCTGTTTTGATCTCAGCAAAAGCCAGGCCTGACAAGGGCCTGGGGTGCCACGGGACCGGGTTCCAGCTAGACCTGGATTCTGAATAGGGCGTCCTTGCTGGCGATGTAGCTCAGCGGCCAAGCATCTGCCTGGCAAGCTCAAGGCCCTGAGTTCAATTCCCAGTACAAAAAAAAAAAAAAGCAAAAATGGACAAGGTGTCCTGGTTCCCTGTAGGATTGTGGACGTGGGTGGCCAGAAGTCGGAGCGTAAGAAATGGATTCACTGCTTTGAAAACGTCATCGCCCTCATCTACCTGGCATCACTTAGCGAGTATGATCAGTGCCTGGAAGAGAACAACCAGGAGGTGAGGGTGGCCGCGACCCCTCACCTTGCTCCCCGAGGAGGACCCTCGAGGGGCAGGAAGCTCAGTCTGCCCCTCGGGGAGGTGACCTAGCCCAACCAGACAGGGTGACTTTGAGGGGATTTTGGTAGAGCATGCACACACCTGGCCATGAAGGACGTGCTAAGGTCCTGGGGCCGGCAGCATAAAGCGGCAATACAGGGCACATGGCTTCACTGGCAGATACTGACTTGTCCCCCCCCCCCCCCCGTCCTGGGCTCGCTCAGTCGTTCTGTGTTGCCGATGCAGCCGGCGGCAAGGGTGGAGTCTTGTTGCTGCTGGGGCGGGCGTGCTCCCCCCCCGCCCCCGCTCAGTCCTGGGGGACGGGAGGACGTCTGCCAGGGAGACTGTGAGAGGAATCTGTGCAGGGCCTGTCCCCAGCTCTGGCACTGCTGGGGAACTCAGTATCCTCGGCTTGTAGAAATGTCACCCTGATCGCTGGCTACATCTCCACCTGGCGCCCTCCGCATGTGGTCTGTGCTCTAATCTCCCTCCTTATTTATTTTTATTTTTGTACTACTAAGGCTTGATCCTAGGTCTTTCACACTGAGCTCCATCCCCAGCCCTCCTTTTTTAAAATTTTGAGACAGGGTCTTGCTGGAATCACTAAGTCACCCAGGATAGGCTAGGCTCGGATTTGGGAATCCTCCTGCCTCAGCCTCCCAGAGTGCTGGGATGACAGGTGTGCACCACCACACTTGACTCAAATTTTCCTCTTTTCATAAGCACACCTGTCTTGGGATTAGCAGGGCCTCCACTTAATTCATTCTAGCTTCAAAGACTCCACTTCCAATAAAATAAGGTCATTGCTCCACCCATCTTCCCTCCCACCAGAACCGCATGAAAGAGAGTCTGGCCCTGTTCGGGACCATCCTGGAGCTGCCCTGGTTCAAAAGCACCTCAGTCATCCTGTTCCTCAACAAGACCGACATCCTGGAGGAGAAGATCTCCACCTCCCACCTGGCCACCTACTTCCCCAGCTTTCGGGGTGAGTGGCCTCGGATGTTCTACAGGGTTTGTCTCCTACGGCAGCGCTCAGGAGCAATGCTGGAGCTAGCCCTCTCAGGCCCGGGATACACAGGAAGGGACCTGAGTTCCTCACCCAGCCACTTCCACTGCCAAGTTTCCCTATCTGTAGAATGGGGATTGAATTGCCATGGTGGTGGTGCTCTCCTGTAATCCCAGCCCTCAGGAGGCTGAGGCAGGAGGATCGCCTCAAGTTTGAGGCCAGCCTGGGCTACATAGTAAGTTCAAGGTCAACCAGAACTACATAGTGAGACCCTGTGTCGAACACACAAAAACAAAAAAGAATGGAGCTTAAATAGAAGAGGACCTGGTACTAGATGCAACTACATAGAAAAAGAAAAAAAATTTCTAAAAAGATGTGATTTGGAGGGAGGTGCTAGGCATGGAACCCCTGGCCTCAACCATGCTAGGCAAGTGCTGATCCCCTGATCTACATGCCCAGTACTTTTAAATTTTATTTTGAGACAGTCTTACTGAGTGGTCCAGGCTGGCTTTGAACTTGCGATCCTCCTGCCTCAGCCTCCCAAGTACCAAATAAAAGCACATTCTGAGTTTTTGGGTGGATGTGAATTTGGGAGGCTGCTGTTCATCCCACTGCACAATCAGTTATAGGAGATAAGGCCTTTAGTATGTGCTTGGCACTAGGTCAAAGGTCAGTAAGTATAAGGTTTGGTGACAATGCCAGGGTTGGGCCTCTGGGGCCCGGTCACATCTCACAGCCCATGAGGCCTGTCACACCCACAAGGCTGAGGGTCTAGGGGACAGAGGAGGTCGGCTGTTTTCTGTGCTGGCCTGGACAGCCCTCACCCCTCCCTTCCCAGCTGAGCAGCACTGCAAATTGGCCATGGCTTAGAGGGTTTGGGAACAAGACTGCCCAGTGGGTTTTATTTCTTATTCTTTGTAGTACTGGGAATTAAGCCCAGGGCCTTCACACTGGGCTACATCCTAAACTCTTTGTAAATTTTTTATTTTTATGTTTTATTTTGAGACAAGGTCTCAGTAAGTTGCTAAGTTGCCCAGGCTAGGATTGAACTTGTGATCCTCCTGCCTCAGCCTCCCAGAGTGCTGGGATGACAGCTGTGTACCACCAGGCCCTGCCTGGACTTCTCAGCTTTAACCCCTCTGTTTCCCTCCCTTTCTGAAAGAGGCCTTCTTTGTATTAATCACCGAGTCCTCACCATCACGGTGAATCCTGGTGACAACTCTGTGCCCATTTTACAAATGGGGGAAACTGAGGCTTGCAGAGGTTACAGGGATTAGTAGGCAATCCAACCAATGAAACCAGAGCCAGGTCTAGGCCTCCAGAATCCCTAACTTCACAGTTTTCCTTATATATGTACAAGGCATGATCAAAAAATACGGCGAGTATTTAAGAAATCTAAAATTTAAAAAATTTTAAATGTATAACATTGCTATGAATTCTCCTCAGAATCCTCCCCCTCGTTTTGCACACCCTTATCCCATTGTTCTTATTATTTTTTTTCTTTTTCTCTCTCTCTCTCTTTTTTTTTTATGCCAGGGATCAAACTCTGATCCTTGCGCTTGTGAGGCAGTCAGGCAGCAGAACCACTGAGGTAAATCCCCAGCCTTCTTTTTGAGACAAGGTCTCATTATGTAGCCCAGGCTGGCCTTGAACTCTCAGCCTTGATCCTCCTGGCTCAGCCTCCTGAATGTGGGGATGACAGCCATGCTCCACCACACCCGGTTGTCACTTTCTGCAGCAATTCTAGAGTCCTCTTTCATGAGTGACTTTTGTAGGTGTGATAAAAACATAGTGACTGCTGCTGCTGAGGGCCATCGAAAGGAAAGGCAGCTCATAATGACAGGAGGGTGTCCTCATCCACCTTATTTCTTGGCTCTGCCATCCTGCAACTTCTGGCTCCTCCCCAAAGTCAGAATGACTATGACAGTGAAACGTTTTTAATCCCTTCAGGACATTGGGGCGGCCACAACAGGGCTACTAAAGACACTCAGGAAAGAGGACTCCACAACTGTCTCAGAAAGTGACAAGAACCGTGAGATAAGTGTGTTCTAAGCGAGGTGTGTGTGTACTCTGAGGGGGATAATGGCAGTGTGTCTTTGTAATACATTTAAAAAAAATTTAAACATGGTATTTTTTGGTCACAGTTCGTACTGAGCTCCCTGATGTGCCTACTAGGGGGGCCACCCAGGCTGACCCTGGGGACTCCTCCCTCCTCCTTTGGCCTTGGTTTCCCCTTCTGCGGAGTCTTAGGATATTTAAACTTTCAGCTTCCCAACCTCTAGCTCCAAGGTTAGCAAAGAGTGAGCATTCCTCTCTAAATTCTGCCCCAAGTCCCAGAGCTGAGTCTCATTGGTCTGTTTCAGGTCACATGATGCCTGTGAGCCAATCCCTGAGGCTCCTATTGGTTTACCTGCATCATGTGATCAGCTGTGACCCCCCCCCCCGGGTGCCCAGCCACGGTAAAGATGGCTGTAGTGGTTTCCGGGTAATTTCCAGGCCTGGGTATGGGGCCGAGGGTCCCCAGAGACAAGGAGGGTTCTGACTCCCTTTTCTTTTCCCCCAGGCCCCAAGCAGGACGCGGAAGCCGCCAAGAAATTCATCCTGGACATGTACAGGGGAATGTACAAGGGCTGCGTGGACGGCCACGAGGGCAGCAAGAAGGGTCCGCGCTCCCGCCGCCTCTTCAGCCACTACACATGCGCCACGGACACGCAGAACATCCGAAAGGTCTTCAAGGACGTGCGGGACTCGGTGCTGGCCCGCTACCTGGACGAGATCAACCTGCTGTGACCCACGCGGCCCCCCCCCCCGCAGTGACACCTGCTGGGCAGGTGGATCCCAGACGTTCCTGGCTCTCCAGGCCCAGGTGGCAGAAAAGCCCTCCCTGCCTCTCACCTGGACAGTACCTCCCTTGACTCAGTTTACCTCTTTGGAAATGAGAAGTGGAGCAGAATAGCCATTGGGGATGCCAGGGAGGAGGAAAAGGTGAAGACATCAAGGGGACCTAAGACGTGCATGGGTGGATGTCTCTTAGGGACCCCACCTTCGAGTGTGTCACTCCCCTGGGGGTGACGCTCACTTGGGATGGCCATACTGCCTTCAGGAGCAGACTCTGCCGCCCCCTGGTGGATATCGGGAGGAACGCCTTACTGAGCTCTCGGCCAGGGGGCTCGGTTAACTATTGCAGGACTTTCCCTGGCTAGGGGACAAGATCGCTGAGAAGTGCTGTCCCTTCTATGGCCTCTAGCCTCATAGTGTCCTGCCCCGTTTGCAGAGGAGGGAAACCGAGGCACATAAACAGAGATTTCCCTACCAGGCTGGGAGCCAGGGATACACCATGCAAATAGCCTTCTGTATTTATTCCCTCACCTTTCGAGGTAGACATTAAAGAAAGGACACTCCAGAGACCCGTGGTTTCTTAGGACCGGTGTCAGCAGCCTCCTGTTGTTCCCCACCCCATTCTCTTTCCCGGTTACCTGGGCAGGTGCAGTCGTATACAGGAGGGGGGACAACATGTGTTGGGAGGAGAAAGGTTTGATTTGTTATCTGGTCACTTGTGTGGGTGCAGCACCCAGAGCTCTGCTGGATGGTGATGATTTTGAGGAATAAATCTGAGTCTAGGGCTGGGGATTTAGCTCAGTGGTTTCACTGCCTGCCGCACATGCGCAAGAACCTGAGTTCGATCCCTGGTACCAAAAAAAAAAAAAAATCAGAGTCTAAGCTGGCCATGGTGGCACACGCCTGTCATCCCAGCACCTGGGAGGCTGAGGCAGGAGAATCTCGGAGAGTTGGAGGCCAGCCTGGGCTACATAGTGAGACCCTGTCTCAAAAATCAGAATCTGACCTCTCCCAGGCTTGAGGACCCCTTCCTATTGCTACTCACCCCAAAATCCCACACAGCTTTGATAAGGACAGAAGTGATGCTGACTCCAACATCCCTGGGGAGACCCAAGTGTCACAAGCCCTATCACTCCCATCATTCACCGGGGGAAACTGAGGCCCAGAGAAATTGAAATGATTTGGCCAATGTCATCCAAATGGGAGGTGACAGGGCCAGTAGCCTAGTCATTCATTCAACACGTTTGCTTTGACTTTTTAAAAGCTTATGTTTTAAGCCGGGCCTGCTGGTGCACACTTGTCATCCCAGCACTCTGGGAGGCTGAGGAAGACAGTCAAAAGTTTGAGCCCGGCCTGAACAATTTAACAAGAATCTGTCTCAAAAAAAAAGAGAAAGGGCCAGGGATTTAGCTCAGTGGTTTTGCTGCCTGCTGCGCAAGCACAAGGACCCGAGTTCGATCCCTGGTACCAAAAAAAAAAAAGAAAAAGAAAAAAATATAAAAGGCTAGGTGTATAGCTCAGTGTGAAGACCCTGGGTTTGATCCCCAGTGCCTCCCCTAAAAAGTCTCTACTTTGGGACTTATTTGATATTTCTGTCACGGTCAACTGAGATTATGGGCTTGAGTGACCACAGAGGTATTGTCAGCATCCTATCAGGTGTACAGCCCGTCAACATGGTTTAAGGAGTGTATTTTCCTTATTCCTTTATTTATTTATTTATTTTATTTATTTATTTTGGTTTTTCTCTTTTCTTTTCTTTCTTTCTTTTTTTGGTCTCACTATATAGTTGAGACTGGGCTTGAACTCACTATGTAGCCCAGGCTGGCCTCCAACTCCTGGTGATCATCCTGCCTCAGCCTCCCAAGTGCTAGGGTTACAGATTACAGGCATACACCACCACTCCCAGGTTCCTCCTGTTTTAATTTTGAAAAGATTTCAGATCTACAGAAGTTGGAAAGTGATGACAACAAATTCCATACATCCCCCATGTGGGATGGGGGCAGCTAACAGAAGTTCACAGTAGGCCCAATCCTACTATAAGCCTGCTTTTGTGAATAAAGTTTTATTGGCATGCAGCCACACCTGTTCATTCTTACAGCTGGTCCTCTGCCCGTGCAGTGCCATAAATCAAATCAAATCCACCCAACATTGGCGCAAAAAGATCTCCAAGAAAAACACAGGACCATGTTATGTGCCCTGTGGGTGCCACTGGCGGAGGGACCCAGGCCCTCTCCAGCGCTGGCCAGCGAGTCTGTCCTGAGCATGCGCAGATGTTTTTCTCGCCTTTATTCCCTGAGACAGTGTACAACTATTCACACAGCATCTACATTGTATCATATAGAGTCTGAATGAGGCGCACTCAGGTTCTATGCCAACAGGTCCGATTGCAAAATGAGAAGCGCTTAGGGGCCAGGGATTTAGCTCAGTGGTGCAGCCGCCTGCCTCAGAAGTGCAAGGTTCCAAGTTCGATCCCTGGTACGAAAGAAAAGGATGCATTTAACTTCTTTAAATTTATTTCAAAGACATGTTGCCATGAATCCCTTTCAAAATACTCTCCCTGGCTTCAAATACATTTATCTCACTGTTCATGTCACTGTTTTTTCCCATTAAAAATTTTTTTATTAGTACATGTTTACAGTACATAATGATGAGCTTCATTGTGGTCAGTTGTTGGTACATGGGCGTAACACATCTTCATTCTTTTTACTTCCCCTTTTCCTCCCCTCTTCTACCTCCCTTCATCTCTCGGTCCCCTTCCCATTTGCAAAAAGATATTTCTCCCTCCCTATTTCCTATTATCTGTCTTTTATTTTGCTCTTTACATTATACTTTGGGCTTCACGTATAAAAGAAAACATGGGACATTTAAACTTGTGTGTCTTATTTATTTCGATTAACATTACAGTCTCAAGGTGCATCCTTTTTCTTACAAATGACTTGAGTTTATCCTTGTTTATGGCAGAGTAGTACTCCATTGTGTGTAAATACCATCCTTTCATACATGAATGGGCATGTAGACCACTTGTAATGTTCAGCTATTATGAGTTGTGTTGCTGTAAACATAGATATGTATGTATCACTGTGATCTTTTTTTAAACTTTATTACCATTCACTAAACACACATATATACAAAAATTAAAATTATTCAAAGAAAAGCAACCCAAGGGAAAAAACTATAATAATATTCAAATATAATAGAACTCAACCAAAGCAAAACTGAAAAGTACTTAAACATTTTTCCATATAATTAAAAAAAACCTCAAACATTAACAAGACATCTAAGGATATGATTTGTTTTAGAAAGATTTTCAAAACTAATACTGAACAAATAGTGGTCTGGAAAAAATTCTTTTTTTTTTTTGTACCGGGGGTCGAACTTGGATCCTTGTGCTTGCGCAGCAGGCGGTGAAACCACTGAGCTAAATCCTTGGCCCTAGAAAAAAATTCTAATTAGCTAGTAGACTCCATATAGGCCAAATTTGTTAAAATTTAAATTTCAATACAGTCATGTGACACGTGATGGAAATATAATCTGAGAAATATATTATTAGGCAATTTCATCCATGTGTACTGCAAAGTACCACACAGAATGCCAACTTCTAAGTGCAAACTGAGAAGGTATACGTCAATCATCTGTGATGGCCCCTTGATATTATCCAAATATGCAGTTAAACACGAGATATATGAGGCTACCACTGGCATAGCAGCACACTGTTTTACAGTAAACTCTTTTTTTTTTTTTTTGGTACCGGGGATCGAACTCGGGTCCTTGCACTTACACAGCAGGCGGTGAAACCACTGAGCTAAATCCCCGGCCCTACAGTAAACTCCCTTATATAAGTAGGATTATGCTCTAAAGGATGAAAAGCACAGCATGTTAACATCACTGTAATCTTTTTTTAGTACTGGGGATCAAACTCAGGACCTTGTGCTTTTGAGGCAGGTGGTGGAACCACTGAGCTAAATCCCCAACCCCATCACTGTAATCTTTAACTGACATCTTTAACTCTTTCAGGAAGATACCTACAAGGGGAATAGCTGGGTCAGATGGAATTTCTACTTTTAGTTTTTTGAGGAATCTCCATACCAATTTCCATGAAGGTTGTACAAGTTTGTTTTCCCACTAACAATGAAGAAGGGTTCCTTTTTCCCCCACATCCTCACCAGCATTTGTTATTATTTGATTTCTTTGATGACAGACATTCTGGGTTAAGGTGGAGTCCAAATGTTGTTTTAATTTGCATTTCTTTAATGGGCAGCAATGTCGAATGTTTTTTCATGTATTTATTGGCCCTTCGTGTTTCTTCTTTTGAGAAGTATCTGTCCATTTCAGCTGCCCCTTTTTGATAATGTCTTTTATTTGGGGGGAGTCTTAATTTTTTTAGTTCTTTATATATTCTAGATATTAATCCTCTATCAGGGGAATGTGGAAACATTTTTTTCCCATTCTCTAGGTTGTATCTGCATTCTGTTGGTTGTTTCCTTTGCTGTGCAGAAGCTTTTTAGTTTGATGTGATCTGTTGGGCATGCCAACACTAGCCTGTAATCCCAGCACTTGGGAGGCTGAGACAGGAAGATGGCTGTGAGTTCAAGGCCAATTTTGGTTACATAGTATACTCAACACCAGCTAGACCTTAACTCAAACTCCACCCCCCCAAAGAATTTTACCTATTTTATCTACCAGCAGATTGTTTCTGTTTTAATATTAAGATCTTTGATCCATTTTTATTTTATTTTAGTGCATGGTGAGAGATAGGGATCTACATTCAATTTTCTGCATGTGGATAGCCAGTTTTCCCAGACTGATATGTAGATTTAATGCAAACCCAGTCAAAATACAAACAGGATTCCTCACAGAACTGTAGAAAACAATCCTAAAATTTGTATGGAACCAGCAGACTCAGAATAGCAATGGCAATTCTGGGAAACAAGAACAAGAGGCATCAGAATCCCAGATTTGAAGTTATATTACAAAAATACCATGACAAAAACTGCATGGTACTGGCACAAAAGCAGACGTGAGGATCAGTGGAACAGAACAGAGGATGCAGAAACAACCCCAGGCACATCCAGCTATTGCAAATAGTAAGTTAAGTAGATATTTTGTAGGCAGTTAGACGGGCCAGCCCACGAGGAGCCAACATGGAGGACAGTGAAGACACATTCACTGAAGGCCAGCACTGTAAAAGGAGAGAAACTACCACACCCACGTAGGATGAATAGCAATGATTGATATTCTAAATAGGTATCAATCACCTGGGTGGGGGCCTGACCCACCCTTACTGAAAATCCTTGTATCCTTGCAGCGTGACTTGCTCCCCCATTTGACCCCCATTTAATCAATATTGCCTGGGTGACTGTACTTGTAATCTTACTGGTTGGTTATGGTTTTGCCCCCCCTCATGCCCCCTTGTAAATTTCCATTGGGTCTTATAGTTTTGTCCCACTTTCTACCCACCTCATCGTACAGCTTTGCTGTACAAAACATCTTTGAAAGTGCGGTGGGCGGACAAGCAGGCAACCCACTTTCTGGTCCCCCTTCTGTCTCTCTTAGGCAGAAGCTTTCTTTCTCCCAATAAATTTTTCCTACTCTTAACTTCTGTTGTTCCTAGAATTCATTCTTCGATTTTAGAGAACATGAACTCATGTTTCGGCTATCTGGTAGGTTTGGGAGTTCCATCTCTCGTCCCCCTATATCACAACTATTTGATCTTTCATAAAGGGGCCACAGACACACCCTGGAGCAGGACTGCCTCCTTCGCAAATGGCACTGGGAAACCATTGTCCTCGAGTGTGCAGGAGATTGAATCTGGCCCCTTTGAGGAACAGCCAGCGAGTCCTCTTTCATGTCTTTAGTTGCGTATCCTGGCTGCTTCAACGTCCTGAATGGATTCAAAACATCTCTCTTTCATGGTCGTTTTGACTTTGAGGTGGAGCCAGAAGTTGCATGGTGCCAGACTGGGGTGGATGAGGACCCCAGCATGTTTTTATGAGCTGCCTTTCCACTGGAGAGTGCACAGTGTCTCAGCCTTCCTGAGTGCTCGGCTCGCCGGCATCGAGCGCATCCCTCCGCTGTGCCATCCCTGCTGTCCATCTCCAGGACTTTCCACCTCCCCAGCTGAGCTCTGTTCCAGGAAACGCTGACCCCCGCCCCTCCCCAGCCCCGCACCACCATCCTCCTTCCTGTCCCTGTGGACCTGACCATGCTAGGCCTCCTGGGGGTGGGGCCCTGCACTGCGTGTCCTCCTGTGTCTGGCTCAGCTCCCTGAGCAGCACGGCCTCAAGGTCCATCCAAGCTGTGTGGTGCCAGCCCTTCCTTCCTTTTTCTGCCTGAGTGATATTCCAGAGTGTGGATGGATCACATTATGAGTATCCATTCACCAGTTGGAGGATGCTTGGTTTCCCCACTCTGATCGATTTGACTCTTGCTGCTAGGGACATTTCTTTTTTTTTTTTTTTTGGCACCGAGGATCAAACTTGGGTTCTTGTGCTTATGGGGCAGGCGGCAGAACCACTGAGCTAAATCCCTGGCCCTGCTAGGAACATTTCTGTGCACGTTTCTAAATGGAGACGTTGTGATTCTCTTGGCAGGTACAGGAGGAGGGGGGTTGCTGGGGCATATGGTGAAGAGGACCCTAGAGCTGCCTTCTGTGTCCTGGCAGGTTCCCATACCCCACCCCCAGCATGTCCTGACTTTCTGGTACCCAGAGACTTTCCAAGCTCATCTTAGATTCCCCCACGCAGCTCTGGAATCAGTTACTGCCCCCAGTAGCCCTGGGTCATTTTTTTCCCCTTCCTTTCTGATTTTTTTTTTTGAGACAGAGTCTCACTATGTATTCCAGGCAGGCTTCAAATTCATGGTGATCTTCCTGCCTCAGCCTCCCAGAATACTGGGATTACAGGGACCCCCCACACTGGGCTTGCTATATGTGCTTTGGTACTTATTGTTTTTCCTGGGAGCCAAGCACGATGGCACACACCTGTTATCTCAGCACTCTGGAGGCTGAGGCAGGAGAATTGCTGATTTTGAGGCCAACCTGGGCTACATAGTGAGTTCAAGGTCAGCTGAACTATGTAGCAAGACCCTGTCTCAAAAAAACAAAAAACTTGTCACTGAGTCATCAAGTCTGTTTCTCTCAAGGAGAACTTCCTGATGCTTTTACACCACTTCGTAGTATTCCACTCAGGGCCATGGCATAGCTGCTCTCCTGTGTGTAGACTTTGGCCTGCTTTTCATGGTCGGCATTGACTGATCACGCTGGCAATGGAGTCCAGGATCCTGCACCTGCTAGGCCAGCCCTCAGGGACCAGGCCTCAGGGGTCGGGCCTCAAAGCTGGGTGTCTACTTTGTCACCTTCAGTGACCAGACACTGGCTCCTCCCCTGCTGGGCTTGCTCAGCTTTCCCGGCACTGTCCCAGCCTTGCTGCATAAGGGGAAACAAGAGGACACCGGAGGGGCTGGCAGCTCTGCTGACTCAGCCCCAGCTCCCCCTTCCTGGGGACACTTTGACTTCTCGTGGGGACACTGCTGTCCCTTTCACTGAGACACCTCTGCCCATGGCACGCCTGTGCCCTTAGGGGACAGTGGCTGGAGGAGCCAGTGTGGCCGCCCCTCCCGTGGCTCAGGACAGCTGGTGGCCGTGTGTGTGGGGTAGGTGGGGACCTGGCTGAGGGGCTGAATGCAGCTGATGAGTCTTGGGTTCTTTTCCCAATCCCGTGGCCTGTGTCACACCCCAAACCCCTCTGGGGGGACAGCAGGGTCACAGGTACAGGGCAGGCAGGGTGCGGACCCGACTTCGCTGCCTGTTGGTTACAGTCAGGGCTCCAGGGAACCCAAGCCTCTTCCTCCCTCCTGCAACCATCTCTCTTGGGTTGTGTCACCCCAGCTGGTGTCTGGGGAACCTGGGGGAGGGGCAGCCCTGCTCTCCTCCTTCGCCTCCCTCCCGGGCCCAGGGGCCTCTGAGGCCCAGCCCTGCTCCTATCAGGGGAGCTTGGGGGCTGGAGATGCAGTCGCCAACCCCAAGGGGTGTTCAGGCCTGGTGGGGTTGCCTCTGTGAGCCTCAGTTTCCTCTTCTGTGAACAAGCAGACCACGCAAGTCAGACCTGGCCCTGCAGTGTGCATTAACAGGGTGCTCAGGGGTGTGCACAGGTAAGCACTTATTAAGCGCCTGCTGCATACGGAAAGCGGGGAGCTTCTGGGGAGAAGGTGGAGAGGGAGCTTTGGGGCTGGGGTGCAGGACACCTGGGGAGGTGTGGCGCAGACAGGTGGCCGCTGACCTCCCTCAGCGACCTGTGCTTCTGTAGCCCCCTCCCCTCTGGCTTTCCGGAGGGGCGTTTGTGTCACCATGGAGGGCGGAGTGTGGCTGTCCCCAGCCGTTGTCCCCAGCCCCTGCCCACAGCCAGCAGCCGTTGGGATGCCCCTCCCTGCCCTTGTCCCCACCCTGGGGTACCTTGAACATAACAGGAAATTTCAAATAACAGGAAACCAAGACCAGGCGAGGCAGGCAGCTCCACCCTGGCGCCCCGGGACCTCAGTCTGTCCGGGGGAGGTCATGAACGCCACCGTGTCCCCACCGCCGGTCCCCCCTGAGGCCTGCCACCAGCTGGCGGCCGGCGGGCACAACCGCCTGATAATCCTGCACTACAACCACTCGGGCCGGCTGGCGGGGCGCGGGGGCCCCGAGGACAGCAGCCTGGGCGCACTGCGGGGGCTGTCGGTGGCCGCCAGCGGCCTGGTGGTACTGGAGAACCTGCTGGTGCTCGTGGCCATCACCACGCACATGCGCTCGCGGCGCTGGGTCTACTACTGCCTGGTCAACATCACGCTGAGCGACCTGCTCACCGGCGTGGCCTACCTGGCCAACGTGCTGCTCTCGGGTGCCCACACCTTCCTCCTGGCGCCCGCACAGTGGTTCCTGCGCGAGGGGCTGCTCTTCATGGCGCTGGCCGCCTCCACCTTCAGCCTGCTCCTCACTGCCGGCGAGCGCTTTGCCACCATGGTGCAGCCCTGGATGGCCGAGAGCCGGGCCACCAAGCGGGGCCGCGTGTACGGCTTCATCGGCCTGTGCTGGCTGCTGGCCGCGCTGCTGGGGCTGCTGCCGTTGCTGGGCTGGAACTGCGTGTGCGCCTTTGAGCGCTGCTCCAGCCTGCTGCCGCTCTACGCCAAGGACTACATCCTCTTCTGCATGGTGGTCTTCGCCTGCATCCTGGCCGCCATCCTGGCCCTCTACAGCGCCATCTTCCGGGTGGTCCGGGCCAACGGTCAGAAGGCCCAGCGCCCCTCTGCCCGCTCCAAGTCCCGCCGGCTGCTGGAAACGGTCCTCATGATCCTGGTGGCCTTCGTGGTGTGCTGGGGACCGCTCCTGGGCCTGCTGCTGGCTGACGTCTTCGGCTCCAACGTGTGGGCGCAGGAGTACCTCCGCGGCATGGACTGGATCCTGGCCCTCGCTGTGTCCAACTCAGCTATCAACCCGCTCATCTACACTTTCCGCAGCCGGGAGCTGCGCCGCGCTGTGCTGGCCTCCCTCTGCTGTGGGTGTCTGCGGCTGGGCCTGCGGGGACCCGGTGACTGCCTGGCCAGGGCCACGGAGGTGCACTCCGGGGCGTCCACCACCGATAGCTCACTTAGGCCCAGGGACAGCTTTCGGGGCTCCCGATCACTCAGCTTCAGGATGCGGGAGCCCCTGTCCAGTGTCTCCAGCGTCAAGAGCACGTGAAGCCGCCGCAGGACCGAAGAGGCACCGACCCGCAGCCTCTTGGCCTGTGACCAAGCAGGGTCCCTCCCCAGGGGCACCTCGGACAGGGAGGCCTCGTGCGTGGGAACAGAGAGCTCTCCACGTGCAGCCAGGGGTCTCCCTAGGGCGCCTGGCTCCTGTGGGATTTGGGGGAAGTCCCAGGCTCCCTCTGGGCCTCCGTGGGGCACCCCAGCTTCGAGGGCCAGGCTGTGGGTTTCAGGCCCTGGTGACACTCAGGTTCAAAGATGCCATAAGCTCCTCGGGCTGTGTGGTCATTCGGCCCTTTGCATAGGTGTCCTGGGGGCCACAGCTGTGATGGGGGGGTGGGGTGCCGCGTGCCCAGAGCCCCCATGTCTGCTTGCACAGTGTGCTCTTGTGCACCTCGACAGCCTCTGGCACCCGTGGTCCTCCCACTTCCTCTTTGGGGAAACTAGCCCCCAACCCCCACCCAGCACAACCTCCTCCCCAGCTTTTTTGGTTTTGTTTCGGTTTGGGTTTTTTTGAGACGTCATCTCGGTGTACAGTTCAGACTGGCCTTAACTCACTATGTAGCCCAGGCTGGCCTCAAACTCAAGGTGATGTTCCTGCCTCAGCTTCCTGAGGGCTGGGATGACAGGTGTGTGCCACCACACCTGGCCTCTTCCCCTAGCTCTGGCCTTTGCATCTTTTGGGGTTCCCTCTGGGGGCCCAGCAGAGAGGAAGAGTCCCAACCCTCTTGCCCTAGGGAGATGTTGCCTGGCATTTCCTTCCAGGCTCACTGCTGTCACTTTCCCCACCTGTGAAATGGGCTCACTGTGGGAGCCAGCATGGAAGGAATGTGTCATCTCTCTCAGTTTAGGGGTCCTGGTACCTTAGAAACCCATCCCACAAGCTGTTGCATAAATGAAGACTGGAACTTTCCCTGATAGATAGCATTTAATATGAATTAGTTTACACACAAAGGCGCCATAGGCCATGACATCCCAGGGTTAGAGCAGTGTTGCTGGTGCCTTCGAATGGAGCCTGTAGCTGACACAAAGTCCGTACCAGCCTGGCCCTGAGGACTGCCCGGGAGAGGGTTGGGGTGAGGGCTTGGGGGCTCCTGCCTGCCGCCTGGAGGGAGGACAGTGCCACTCTGAGCCGTTATTTCTCTGCTGTGTGGTGGGGGAAGTGGTGGCTGTTTCTCATGCTGTCCAACCCCATAGTCACAACCGTGTGGCTGCGTCAAATCGATTAAAATGAGTGACATCTGAAGATTCAGCTTCTCAGTGCATTGGTGCCTAGGACCGCTAAAATAAAGTCCTTCAGAACAAGCGGCCACAACAGTAGAAAGGCAAGAGTGCCTGGATCCAGAGGCTTCAAGTCTAAGGTCAAGGTGTGGGCAGGGCTGGCTGCTCGGGAGGCCTCCGGGGAGATCCATTCCATCCCATCCCAGGGCCTCTCCAGCCTCCTGTGTGTGCACTCCCCATCCACAGTCTGTGTCCCCAAATGTCCCATTTATTTATTTACATTTTGGGGGCAGGAGGGATGGAATGCAGAGCCTTCACACTAAGCTACATCCCCAGCCCTTTTTATTTATTTATTTATTTTATTTATTTGTTTGGAGACCGGGTCTCAATGAGTTTCTAAGCTGCCCAGGCTGGGCTGGAACTTTCAATCCTCCTGCCTCAGCCTCCCAGAGTGCTGTGATGACAGGCGTGTGCCATCATGCCCAGCTCTGTTTCATTTTTTTGTTTTCCTGATTCCTGTCCTGTGTGATTATCTGGGACTGCAGCAGGCAGGTGGGGTCCTGGTGGAATTCAGGGTGAGGGGCATCTGGGGCAGCCTAAAGCTCTCTGCCTGTCTCTGTGCTCTCGTGAGCTGGCCCGTACCCCTGCCCTGTGCGGCGAGCTTTTCTTCCTGAGATGAACTAGTTTTTTGTTCATTTATTCATTGAGCCCAGGGCCTTCGCACTGAGCTCCGTCCCCAGGTGTTTTTATTTTTTTATCTTGGGACAGGACAGGGCCTCACTAAGTCACTAAGTTATCCAGGCTGGGCTCGAACTCGGAATTCAGCCTCAGCCTCCCACAGTGCTGGGATCACAGGCGTGTGCCACCACGCCCCCCGCTGCACTCCCCATTTTACAAACCAAAATAAAACAAAACAGAAAAACCAAGGTTTGGGAGAGGAGAAGGCAGCCACCAAGTTGAGCCTCCTTTCTGTGCCTGTGCCTGGGTGAACGCGCGCTGCTCTGTCTTGCAGCGCTGGGGAAGGAACTCAGGGCCTGGGCCATGCCAGACAAGTGCTCACCGCTGAGCTGCACCCCAGCCCCTGTGTGTCTGGCACATCCACAGGCCTGGCATGGGGCGGCAGAGGGAAGAACCTGGAAAAAAACCTTCTATGCTGAAAAGCGCATGCGCCGAACTCCGCGGTCAGTCCCAGCCCCACCACCATCGTTCTGTCACCTGAATGATGTCATCATTCTAGGGACCAGAGAAGATCAGTTGGGAGGGTTGGCTCTTCGGTTGAGGTGGGTTCATAACCGCTCTCTCCTTTACTTTTTTTCATCCTTCCCTCCTTTCCAGTGACACTCAGGCTCTATTCAGGGCACAGGGCTAACAGCCATGAACAATACAGACCTGGCCCCTACCTACCCTTCTTAAAAGCCATACTCTGAGCCAGGTGTGGTGCTGCTCACCTGTCATCCCAGCACTTGGAGAGGCTGAGGCAGGAGGATCTCAAGTTTGAGCCCAGCCTAGGGAATTCAGGGACTTAGCGAGACCCTGTCTCAAAATAAAAAATGTGAAATGTGCTGAGGATGTACCACAAAAAAAGAAAAACAAAGTCACACTCTGGGTTTAGGAGGGAGTGAGGAACAGCAAACCTTTCACTAAGAAATGTCCACTGTCCTTCCATAGTTTAGGAAATGTTGGGGCTTGAAAAAGAAAGTGGAGTCACCCACGCGGTGAGGTACTGGAAACAGGTTCTTTTTTGTTTTGTTTTTGGACAGGGTCTCACCACGCAGTTCATACTGGTCCTGAACTCACTATGTAGCCCAGGCTGGTCTGGAGCTTGCAACAATCCTCCTGCCTCAGCCTCCCCAGTGCTGGGACTATAGGCGTGCGCCACCACCCCCAGCTTGGAAACAGGTTCTAAGAGCAACAGCAAATGTATGTGCCCTGAGTTCTGCCAGGGCTTGGCGCATTTGCACAAAACCAACGCTTATCGAGCATTTCCTGGGTGCCTCACTGTTTATGTCAGTTTGCACTGACTTTCTTATTGAAAACTTTTTTCCAGTACTGGCTCCTGGAACACAGTAGGTAAGCACTCTATCACTGATCTGTACTCCAGCCATTTTTATTTTTTATTTTGACACAGGGTCTCTCTGCTATATAATCCAGGATGGCCTCATACGCGTGATCCTCCTGCTTCAGCCTCCCAATAGCTGTGATTACAGGTGTGTGGGACTGTGCCTGGGTTGTATCTTTTCTTTTCTTTCCTTCCTTTTCTTTTCTTTCTTTCTTGTTGTACTGGACATAGAACCTGTGACCTTCACATTAAGCTATATCCTGAGCCCTTTATTAATTTTTTGACAGGGCCTCACTAAATTCCCCAGGCTGGGCTCAAAGTTTTGACCTTCCTGCCTCAGCCTCCTAGAGTGCTGAGGTGACAGGTGTGCAACTATTTATTGTTGTATTTGACAGTTGAAGAAACAGAAGCTCAGAGATGTGAAGCCACTTGTGTGAGGACACCTAGCTGTGAAGGGGAGGATCTGGAATTTGAACTCGTGCTTTTACATGTCATAGATGCTACTTCTCACAGGGGACCGAAGGCAGCCAACTGGCCGAGGGCCTGGCCATTGATTTCTGTTCCCTTGGTCTCAGTCTCCCCATCTGTTCAAGGGAAGAGTTACCGCTGCTCCTTAAATTCCCTAAACCTGACTCACTGGGCTCTTAAGATTGTCAGATGAAAGAAATACCACTACGGGACACCCGAAAAGTAAATTTCAATTTCCCATAAACAGTGAATGATTCTTCAGTGTCCGTATGCCCCCAATATGAATGAGGTTAAGTACAGTGCATGAGCCCCCAGTCCCTGCACCCGCTCCCGCCTCCAGACTACAAATCCCATAACCCATTGCATCATCCCTTTAGCAACGGGCTATCATGATTATTTTTACTCTTTTTTCATTCATTCATCCTAAAATTGTATGTAGCCCATCCATGGGGTGCCAAGAGTTGTGTTTAGGAGTCTGGGAATACAACAATACACAAATCAGATTAAGATCTCAGTCTCCAGGGAGTTTAACATCTATAATCCTTGCGAATTTTATTTTATTTTTTTCCTAAGAGACCGGAAAGACTGCAGTTCCCGTGACCCTTTGTGCTCCTTTTAGACAGGACTACATTTCCCAGAAGACAGAGCGCGCCAAAACGAGCGCTTCCTCTTTTATTCCTTACTTCCTTCCGGGTTGCACGGTCATAGCTCCGCAGCCCATTCCATGCCTGTGACAGGGTTAAATCAAGTTCTAGTGGGTATCGGGGATCGAACTCGGGTCCTTGCGCTTGCGAGGCAGGCGGCGGAACCACTGAGCCAAATCCCCGGCCCGAAAAATATTTAAGGCTCTGTATTTTCCGACTTGGCGTTTATGTAAGATTTTAGTCTTACTAGTGTTAGTCAAACAGTCTCCCCCATAATTTCCTTCGGGAAGTCCCAGAGTGAGCCTACGACTCCCAGGTGGCTCCGCGCGAACCTTGGGGACTACAACTGCGGGGCATCGCGGCCTTCAGGGCTGTCCGCAGCGACGCCCGTAGGACCCCGAGGTTCACACGGACTGCCCGGCGCGGCGCCTGCAGGACCCCGGCGGCTGCCCATGCCGAGGTGAGTCCGCGGTTGCAGTCGCTGCTGTCCCGTCCCCGTCGCTCCCCTGTCGCCGCTCCGCGCGGCTTGCGCCGCAGTCCAGGATGCTGGAGGAAGCGGGAGAGGTGCTGGAGAACATGCTGAAGGCATCGTGCCTGCCGCTCGGATTCATCGTCTTCCTGCCCGCCGTGTTGCTGCTCGTGGCGCCTCCGCTGCCCGCCGCCGACGCCGCGCACGAGTTCACGGTGTACCGCATGCAGCAGTACGATCTGCAGGGCCAGCCCTACGGTGCGTCCCCGCCCGGCCATGTGCCCTCCCGCCGGCGACACCTGCACCGGCCCCATCCTGTCCCCCGCGACCTCACCCAGCCGGCCCCGTGCACCCCAGGACCCAGGACCTGGGCTGCCTCAGCCTCCTGTGACCTCTCCCGTCCCATCCTGTGCACCCCGACTTCACCCAGGCCAGCCTCTGTGCCCCAGGCCCACTGTCCCAGCCCGCATTTGGGGTTCCTTTGGACCCATTCGATCCCGCCGTTGACACACGCACACCCCACGGCTCAGCCTTCTCACCACCCCCTTCTTCGCAGAATGTCACCTGCTCCCCTTTCGCAGGATTTCGAGGTTCTCTTGCACCCTGGCTCAGCCCCGACCCCAGGCTCCCCAGGCCTGGATCCCTGCCCTGCTGCCCCTGCCCCAGTGACCACGCTGTTCCAAGTTCTTGACTGTCTCGCACCGCAGAACCTCCTGGTCTCTGGTTTGTCTTCCTCCTGGCCTGGACCTAGAGAGTCCCTAACCTCAAACTGTGACCTCCCTGTAAAGGAGTCCTCTGTGCACATCTGGTCCCTCTGGTTCTGGGCCACGTGGTCCAGGCTGGGCCTCCGTCTTGGAACCGCAGGTCCAGCCTGAGTCCCCCGCACCGCTTGCTTTGGCCAGGCTCTTAGGGAGCCCCAGTGTCTGGAAATGGATCCCGATGGTCCCTCTGATTCCATTTTGCCCAGAATTGGATTGTTTTAGAGCAGTGGTTGTCAACTCAGGTCACACTGGGTCATGACTGGGTACATGGGAGGTTGTCACAACTAGGGGAGCCCTGACATGGAGTGGGTGGAGCCCAGGGATGCTGTTCAGCACCTTGCAGTACCCAGGACACTTCATAGAGAACCCCTGGCTCCAAGGAAGACCCTGGGTTAGAGCAATGGTGTAAACCCAGGGCCCAGGCTCGGGAGGAGTGGGGGTGGGAGGCTAGGAGCCCCCAGGTCTGGAGCACTTCGTGACCAGCTGCTTGGCACCTTGGAGCGGGGGAGTCGCTAGTGGCACCGTCTGGTAGATCCAACCACCACATGATCATGTTCTGTGCCTTCCCGGTGCCACTTGAGAGCCACCTGCAACTGAGGGACAAGGAGTTTAGAGCTGTTTGATTGTAGTAAGCCCAAGCCACAAAGTGTTACTAGCGGCTACCAAACAGAGTGGCTTGGCTTGGGAGCTCTGGGGCTCTTTCCAGAGTAGTCTGTGGGGAAGGCCAGCTTCCGGACCTGCGGTGACCTGTTTCTCTCTTGACACGCCCCTCTGGGGCCTCCAGTCATCCCCCACCATCCCTGTACCCCTAGGCTGCCTCCAGCACCTGGCACCTGGAGTGAGCTGGGGTGTGGCTGGCAGGCAGCTGATGTCCCCTTTTCTTGCCTCCTTGCCTCCCTGGAGAGTTTGTGGGACTTTGGCTTGGTCCTCCCTGGGCTTCCTATCATGTACCTCCTTTCTTCCCCGCTCCCACGGCGCCCCCTTCCCAGCCCCTTTTTCATTGTTCCTGATGGGAAACACAGAAGCCACCGGCCTTGTGTGGTGGCAGAGAGGCCCATGGGGGCCACCTGTCTCCGTCACCTGGGAAGGCAAAGGTCCAGCTCTTTTCAGATGGCGCCCGCGTGTAGGGGCAGGGTGAGGTGGGGCGAGTCCTTGAGACACTGGGGCATAAGTCACTTTCCCAATGTCTTCACTGCCCGCCTTGGGGCTCCCCACCCCCATCTGCACCCCAACCCAGCCCCTGCTGACAGGTGCTCCTTACCCAACTTCCTTTGGCTCCTGTTGAGAAACTCAATGGGCTGGCAGGAAAGGGAGGCAGGAGTGGGGCTGGTACAAGCCTGATGTGGCCCAGCTGTCTTTCTGGGTGACGTCCCTCCTTCCTCTACGGCTCCTTGCCATGTGATTTGTTAAGCATGCTACGAGACCCTCGGTGTTGAGTGCTGGCCATTTACACCCTGTCACGCTTAGGGTCAGGGTTGGGGTTAGTATTGGAGGAGCCTGTGAGCTGGGTAGAGGCCCCCTTTCATACCTTGGTGGGGGGCCCACCTGGGCCTCCGCTTATGGCTGTCAATAAAGTTTTATTGGCACATGGCCACGCCCCTCTGCCCTGGCTGCTTTCACAACCTACTGACCCTTGACTGAGACGTTTGCTGACTCTTATCTGGTCTGATCTGTTAGGGGAACTGGCAGCACGTGTTCAGGTGCTTTGCCCACCTTTGTGGCATCTGTTCATCCAGACCCAGGGCTCAGGATGGTCACTGATGTCAGCACATGCAGAAAGCTGTGTCCACAGCAGCTCGAGTCCGCCTGTCCAAGCTCTGGTGGCCCCTAGGGAAAGATGGACCCCCCACACTGGGGTAGGCTGTCCGGGAGCCCCTGTGCTGGGCAGGTGGATGTGGGGGGTCACCTCCGCTGGTGCTAAGGCCAGGGTGTCAGATAGGGTGGTCCTCATCCTAAAAAGGGGGGCAGTGACTTCAGGGGGCCTTGGGGGAGCTGCCTGTGTCTGGCTGGGTGCCTTCGGCCCACCCTCCTGTCACGGACAGAGTGGGTCTCAACCCTGCCCTTCAGGGCTCAGGCCCATCGGGAGGCACACGTAGGCCCAGCGGTGACACTTGAGGATGAGGTGGCATCTGAGCTGCCTGTGAGAAGCCAAGGACACCAGGGCTGTGCTGCTTTCTCCTTGTCCTGGGTCCCTGCCACTGTCCCCTCCCACCAGGCCCTGCCATTCCCCTCCCAGTGGCCTCTGCCACTTGCTTCCTAGACAACTGGTGCTGGAAAGCAGACCCGTGTGCCAGGCCTGAGCTGGGACTCTGCAGTGGGGCCAGGAAGGTGTCGGGGTGACCAGTGCCACCTCCCTGCTGCGACCCTGTTTCTGTGTCCTCACTTGAGTGGTTCCCAAGAGGTCCCCACCTTGGGCTGCCCGCTGTGCTGTGTCTTGGGTCAGCCTGCAGCGAGTCCGAGAGGTGTCTGACATTTGGGCGGTGTCACAGGCTAGGGGCCCTGTGCTTCCGGGAGCCACCTGATGTGGCCCCAGGTCTTCGTGCAGCATTGCTGAACTGGGTGCCCTGGGGCACAGCTGCACCGACTGCTACTACTACTGCTGCTGTGTGGGTGGGTTAGCTGTGAGGCGCCTGCTGTCTATCTCGTCCCCCGCGGAGCAGTAGCTGGTTTTAGGGCTCAGGGAGACTGAGTCTCCCAGGAAGCTGCTCAGGCGGAGAGCAAGTGAATGTTCATTCATCCTTGGGCCTCAGGGGCTCATACAGTGAGACCCCACTGTGAGCTCCGAGGAGCCGGGGAGCCATCGAGTGTCCGTCCCTGCGACACTGGGAGGACAGCCTCAGTGCCAGGGCCAGACCCCTGTGGCTCCCTGAGCTCGCATCCTGATGGCAGCTGTCCTGGGGCCATCCCTGTCCCTCTACCCCTGCTCTGTCCAGAAGGGACCTGCAGTCTGGAGTGCAGAGGTCTGTCTCATGCCACCCGGCCTGCTGCCCTGTGGGAAGCCAGGGCTTGCTCCCCTCTGGTTCTCAGGGTCTTTCTGAGCTCTCAGAAGGCAGGATTGGTGTGCAGGGGTCTCCAGTGGTGATTCTGTTCCTCAAGGTTGTGGGCTCATATTTGGGGACCTGTGTCTCACATGACGAGGGGAAACAGGTGGAGGCTGGGGACACCGCTCAGCACCTGCAGGGCCTGGGACACCCACAGAGAAGGACCTGGCTTGCGTGTTCACAGCACCAGGGGCCCAGGGTATCACGGGCCTTCTTGGGGACCCTGGGGGGCTTTGGCTTGCATTCATTTCCCACCTTCCTGGTGTTGATGGAGAGAGGTGGTGGTCGATGCTGGGGGTCTGTAGTCATGAGAGACGGGGATGCCACATAAACAAATGGATCCTAGGGGCCTGAGACCGGCAAGGTGCAGATGAGTGCTTTGGAGGCAGGGCCCAGGTCTCTGGGAGCAGCTGGGTTTGTCCTGGCAGCCTGTAGCCCTGGGGACAGTCATGCCAAGTTCCTGCTTGGTGTGGGACCCTGGAGTGTGTCCCGGGGCTGTGACTCCCTGTCTGGAGTGCTGAAGGGCTCCCATGGGTGTGGTGTGTAGAGAACTCCAGGACTGCCCACTGCTGCCATCCACCTCCGTGTGGCTCAGCTGGCTGGGCCCCTCTGTCTCGAGGGCTGAGAGAACAGCCCCTTCCAGAGCCCGGTGCTTCCTGCTGGAGCCTGTTGGGGAGGGGGTGAGCATTCAGAGACCCAAGTCCGCACCATGCCCTAGAGACGGCTGCAGTGTGGCCCAGTTGTATCACCCCAGCCCCCAGACTGTCTAGAAAACTCCAATGTCCATGGTCCCTTGGGGGCCTGTAAGGAAACATGGCCAAGGGGGACTGCCCCATGTCCTGATGTCACCTCATGGTGCAGGGCTCAGACCTGGGACAGAGGTTGCATTCTCTCTGTAGGAATCTAATGCCGTGTCCTGAGGAGGGGCTGAGGCTGTGATGCTAGCCTAGGGTATGGAATTACCTTGTACCTCAGACAGGTACTAAGACAAGAAAGTGACCAAAGTCCTCCTGCCCTGTCGGTGGGCAAACTCCCATGACACCAGTCCCTCTTGCCAAAAAGGTTGGTTATCACTGCTCTAGGATAAGGGCTGGGTATAGCACAAGCCAGATCTGGCCGCCACAGTCTAAATAATGTCGGGAGGTGAGCCTGCTGCCACACACCTGTCATCCCAGCTACTCAGGAGGCTGAGGCAGGAGGGTCACAAGGTGGAGCCCATCCTGGGGAACATAGTGACTTAGAAAGACCCTGTCTCATAAAATAAGGGCAGGAATGGAGCTCAGTGCAGAGACCCTGGGTCCATTCCCCAGTACTGGAGAAAGAACGTCTCCTTGGCGAGGAAGGCCAGCCTGAGCCGGGAGAGGCTGTGGCCACAGAGTGGAGACACTGCTGTCGGGTCCCTGGTAGATGGGGCTATGGCTGTGTGTGGATGTCCCCGGTCACTTTCAGCAGAGCTGCAAGGTGTTGGGGTCGCTGTGGGCCCCGCTGGTGGTAGAGAGTGGGCTGAATGGGATGCATGGGTGACACATAGGAGGCTGCGCTTGCCCAAGGTGACCCTGTCTCCCGCAGGCACACGGAACGCAGTGCTCAACACGGAGGCGCGCACGGTGGACGCGGACGTGCTGAGCCGCCGCTGCGTGCTCATGCGGCTGGTAGACTTTTCCTACGCACAGTACCAGAAGGCGCTGCGGCAGTCGGCGGGCGCTGTGGTCATCATCCTGCCGCCGGCCATGGCCGCCGTGCCCCAGGACGTCATCCGGGTGAGTGGTGCCCCTTGCTGCTGGGACCTTGGCAGGGTGCTTCACCTCTCTGAGCGCTCCGTCTTTTGGAAGGTGGGGGTGCCCGTTCACGTCATCCCTGATGTCAGGCCCCAGGGGACACTGGGCAATGTTGGGACGTGAGGTTGTCCTGTCTCGAGAAGCTCCTGGACGGAGCGGGTGGAGGCCGGGGACGCTTCTCAGCACCTGTGGCTCCCAGGAGGCCTCACAGAGAACAGCCCGGCCCAGGGTACACAGCTCCCAGGGGAGCCCTGCTTTTAAGCAACAGGGCCTGAGGGAGCCCCACAGGATGGGGGGCGGTCTGCAGAGGAGGAAGCATGGGGGCTGCCCTGTCAGGGCCTCCTGAGCGCTCTCTTTTCCACAGCAATTCATGGAGATCGAGCCCGAGATGCTGGCCATGGAGACCATCGTCCCCGTGTACTTCGCCGTGGAGGACGAGGCCCTGTTGTCCATCTACGAGCAGACCCAGGCCGCCTCAGCCTCCCAGGGCTCGGCCTCAGCTGCCGAAGGTGGGCGTGGCCAGGGGCTCGCTGGGGTGGGGCTGGGCAGGGAAGCACCCTCCAGAGGTGGGGCCTCTCCAGCCTTGATGGTCCTGCGCAGACTTCCTGCATAACAGCCGCGCCTGAAGCCCCACCTGGAAGCCAGACCCCTGGTTAGGGGCTGCAGCTCCACCCACCTCCCACTGTGTGAGAGCAGCAGGCCTAGGTCCTCGCCGGCTGCCTGTGCCGCTGACCATGAGTCCTGAGTCCTGGCTCACTTGCATCCCGCACAGGGATTGACAGTATCCCTGGGAAGGAGCCATCCCTCTCCTCCAAGCAGTGATAGGCAGGGGTCGGGAAGTGGGGAGCCGGCTGAGGGCCAGAGTTTACCCTGTGAGGGGACTGGGGAGTGGGCTGCCGCTAAGAGAAGGACCATGGCCAGGTGTGGTGGTGCCTCCCTGTTATCCAAGCTACTCAGGAGGCTGAGGCAGGAAGACCGCAGGTTCAAGCCCAGCCTGAGCAACTTAGTCTGACCCTCTCTCTCAAAAAAAAAAAAGAAAGAAAGAAAGCCGGCCAGGAGATTTAGCTCAGTGGCACTGCCTGCCTCACAAGACAAGGTCCTGAGTTTGATCCCAGTACCAAAAAAAAAAGGCTGGGGATGTAACTCAGTACCCAGGCCCAGGTTCAGTCCCCAGTACCAAAAAAAAAAAGAAAGCAAGAGCACAAAAGCTATCAAAAGACACAGCTGAAGGCCCTGTCACCTATTAAAATAGGTCTAAAAAGAGGAAGCCAGGGGCCGAGGGTGCAGGTCAGTGGTGAGCGCTTGTTAGCATGACTGAGGCCCTGGGTTCCATCCCCAGCACCACAATAAATAAGTAAATGCTGCAAGGGATATGAAGGGGCTAGCAGAGCTGTGGACACAGACGGACCCTGCCCGGCTCCCACAGAGGCACTTTGGCAATACGTGTTGAAGCTGTGAAAAGACGTTCTTTGCTCCTGGCCAGATTATTGGGACTCTAAGTCAGGCCTCATGCACCCTGGCCTATAGGCCCCTACTTTTGTAAATAAAGTTTTATTGGCACACAGTGTCACCCTTCACTATAGTTCATCTACGGCAAACCATCTGGGCCACAAAGCTGAAAGCATTAACTCTGGCCCTGTATGGAAAGTTTCCTGCCCCTGGTCACAGTGCAAGTCTAGACAACAGCCTTTTTTCACTGCAATAGAGAGGAGTTTTTACAAAAAGGAGGAGGAAGATTGTCCTCAGGGGAATATCACATAGCTGTTAAAATGTCACTGAGGTGGTATTTTTACAGCCACTGGGAAGTATTTGATTTACATTGGGTAGTGGGCAGAAAAAACCGTATATAAAATCAAGCATAGCAATTGCAGCTAAATAACTTATTTTTAAATACACTGACTCAAAAGTAGCCCAGAGTTCCTGGGGTGCCTGCTTCCTCAGCTGCCCATGATGAAATCTTAGAGACCCAAGTGTCTCTGTGTGGTTTTTATTTATTTGTTTGGGGTTTTTGTGTGTGTGTGTGGTGCATGCCCCTGCTAGGCAAGTGCTTACACTGAGCTGTACCCCAAGCCCATGATTGTGTTGGTTTCTTTGTTTTCTGGTTGTTTGAGATAAGATTTCATTATGTAGTCCAGCTTGGCCTTAAACTCACTATGTAGCCCAGGCTGGCCTCAACTTTGCAGATTCTCCTGCCTCAGCCTCCCGAGTGCCGGGATGACAGCCATATGCCACCTTGCCTACCTGTGATTGTTTTCATCTTGCAAAAAAGCAGAGGTGCAGACCTGGCTCCTGGGCGAAAATGCAAGGGCAGGGCTGTCATCTCGGGCACCTGGAGGGCAGCCCTGAGCTCAGGTGAGTGCCCCCTCTTGATCTTAGTGCTGCTGCACACAGCCACCGCCAACGGCTTCCAGATGGTCACCAGCGGGGTCCAGAGCAAGGCTGTGAGCGACTGGCTGATCACCAGCGTGGAGGTGAGTGCCAGGCACCTGCCCCTCACACAGCCTGGGCCTTGGCCCGGCTTCCAGCTCCTCCCCCAGGGGGCAGCAGTGAGCCAGGGGGACCCTGACCCTCCCTCCAAAAATTCACTTCCGGTGTGGATGTCCAAGGGCAGCAGGAGACTGCGTTGTCACCAGCTGGCAGGGGCGGGGGCCGGCTCAGTCATTGCAGGGCCTCTGGGCCATGAGGCCTGCAGCTCCTGGAGGGACGAGGAGACGGCCCAGGGCTCGGGGTGAAGGAGCTGAGGTGCAGGGACCAGGGGAAGCCGGCAGAGTCGATGGAGGATGTGGGGGGCAGGGGCAATGAGGAGCCGAGCGGGGTGGGGGAGCAGACCCTGTTCCCGGAACTGCGCAGAGGGTCACAGTGATACAGGCATGGAGAGCCAAGCTGAGCCGAGCATCTGCTGTGCCCAGGGACAGCCGGGACCCCCATGCTGTTTAGGGGTCCCAGTCTGTTAGCATGGTCACCCCCCTCATTGGTTCTGGAAGCTTCTGGGTGCCCTGGGCAGGAGCTGGAAGCTGCTGGTCCTGCTGGCTTCTGGCATCTGCTTTCTCTTGCTCCTGCTGTTGGCTGCATGAGGAGGCTGGGCTAGGGTTGCCTGTCTTCACGTTTAAGTTTTTTGGTTTTGTTGTTTTGTTTTATTTTGAGATACTAGGGATTGAACTCTGGCCTCTGCACTAGCTACATCCCCAGCCCTTTTTGATTTTATTTTTTTTTTGAGCCAAATTCTCACTAAGTTGTTAAGTTGCCAAAGCTAGATTGGAACTTGTGATCCTCTTGCCTCAGCCTCCCATAGTATGGGGATGGCAGGTGTGTGCCATCATGCCTGGTGGAGTGGCCGATCTTCTGGGGAGGCTGAGGCCATGGTCACTGCCAGCATCCTCAGCTGAGCCTCCCCTCCCCTCTGGCCTTTGAGGATGGTTCCCCAGGCTCTACCCCTGTCCATGGTGGGGTGCTTTGTGGGGTCTCCCCAGTTTCCAGCTGGGAATGTGCTGTGGAAACCTTGAGTCCCCTTGCCTCTGGCTCTTGGGCCAAGTCTGGCCCTCTGCTTGCTTTGTAAATAAAGTTTATTGGCACATGGTCACGCCCAGAGGATCCATCATCCATAGTGGCTTTCTAAAGTTGTGCCAGGGCTGAAAATCTCCCACTCTGCCCTTCATGGAAGGTTCACCAGCCCCCAGGAGGGAGCAGAGCCGCTGGAGGAGGCAGGAGGGCCAGGGCTTCACTTGCTGGCTGAGGCAGGTGTGGGTCCTCTAATCCCCAGCAAGTCCCTGGAGGGGCTGCAGAGGGCGTGGAAGGGGCGGGGCCCAGGGAGCAGGATCCCCTGACTCTGTGCCCCTCACCCACTGGCTCCACAGGGGCGGCTGACGGGGCTGGGCGGAGAGGACCTCCCCACCATCGTCATCGTGGCCCACTACGATGCTTTCGGGGTGGCCCCGGTACGTATGTGCCCCCACGGCGACCCTGGCTCAGCTCACAGCGTCGCAGAACGAAAACAGCTCCACCACGAAGGGGGGCGGGTCAGTTTTCGCACATACATAGGGCTGAGCACCATCGCCATTGTCTATATCCAGAACTTTCTGTCACATCGTGAGCAGTCCCCCGTCCCCTCCCAGACCGGCACACCTGAGGCCACTTTCTGTCTCTGGAGTCGCCTGTCCTGGCTGTTTTGGTCCATGGACCCCACGCTGTGCCCGCTGTGTCTGGTGTCTCTCACTGAGCACAGCGTCACCCCATGAGCTCTAAGTGATACTGGCCATATACTGTGCTCTTGGGACAGGCCCAGCCACCACAGCATCCCCAGATTTTCTCGTCTTTCTAAGAACTGGCCTGGTTGGTGATGCTGCAGGGCAAGGCAGTGAGCATAGAGACACCAGGCAGCTCCTGGAGTCCTGAGCCAGGGTTCTATACAGAGGGGAGCTGTCCGCCTGGACAGGGCTCAGAGGTGACACTGACACGGACAGCAAGGCCGTGTGGTGGGTGGACCCAGGGGCCAGGTGGCACTGACCGGCCGCAACTCCGCCTGCAGTGGCTGTCGCTGGGCGCAGACTCCAACGGGAGCGGTGTCTCTGTGCTGCTGGAGCTGGCGCGCCTCTTCTCCCGGCTCTACACCTACAAGCGCACACACGCCGCGTGAGTGTCCCGAGGCCCCACTGACCCACCTGCCGATCCAGCTGCAGGCCAGGATTCTCTAGCAGCCACCATGAAACTCAGCCTCCCTGTGGTGCTGTTCTCTATGGGGGTGTCCCTGGCTTCTACCCACTCCAGTCCTGACAAGCACACACATCCCGAGACAGAGCCCAGGGTCCCCTAGGGGCAGGAGCTGCCTGTGATGCCCTGGTCAAGACAGACAGCTGTTCCCTCAGGCAAGGTGGCCACAGGTGCGGGGCCTGAGACCCCATAAGTACGGGGCCACCTTGTCTGGGATTCCTCTTAGGCTTCCCCTCATGGTTATAGGCTGACTGCCCAGCACCAGCAGTCTTGTCTGAGTTCAGCAAGTTAAATACAGGGTCAAGGGGAGGGGTCTCTTTTTAAGAAGCCATAAAGCAGGGCTGCAGGACCTGGAACTGCCAGCTCCTGTGGCAGTGGGCACAGCAGGGCAGGCTTGGGAATGACTCGGGCTCAGCCACCTGCCACATTGCCACCCGCTGAGATGTCACCTTAGGGCCATAACATGCAGGTGGTGAGTGGCCAAACTGAGCAAAGGAAAACACAGGCTGCTCCGTGGAAGTTGAGTGCCCGGAAAGCAGGGAAGCTAGAGTCGGCCCCTCGTGTCTGTGTCCGTGTCCATGGGGGATCCGCGGCGCTCAGGCTCCTGGCAGGCAGTGTAGGTTGGCACAGACCTGAAATCGTCTCCTTTTTTTTTTTTTGGTACTGGGGATCGAACTCGGGTCCTTGCACTTGCGAGGCAGGCGGCGGAACCACTGAGCTAAATCCCCAGCCCACTGAAATCGTCTCTTGATGACTCAGAATGCCTGAGCCCAAGTGTGTGGAAGGCACTCTGCTGTCACAGTGTTCAGGGGGTTGTGATAAGGAGCAAAGGTGCATGCGCTTAGTGTGCACAGATTTTCCGAGCATGTTTGACCTGTGGTTGGTTAGATCTCTGTGGGGGACCCACAGACGTGGAGAGCTGACTGCAATTCTCTGTTTTTGTTTTGTGTTGCACCACTGGCCATTGAACTCGGGGCCTTCTAGCTGAGCTACATTCCCCAGCCCCTTTTTGAATTTTTAAACTTGGAGGCAGGGTCTCACTAGGTTGCCGAGGCTGGGCTTCACCTTACAGTCCTCCTGCCTCAGCCTCCCAGAGTACTGGAATGATGGGTGTGCACCTCCACGCCTGGCTGTCTGTACACTTTTAACATAAGTACATCCCATATTCAGGCTGAAGTATTCTCCTGTGTTTCTGAAATTCTAGTGTCACAGGGTCCTGTATTTTAGTTGAGGCCCAAGTGCAGAGCCTGCAGGGGCTTCAGTGTCCGTGGTTCGTGGCTGTGTCTCTCCAGTCTGTTGCCATCATCACAGCTGTCACCCTGTGTGTCTGAATGTCTCTTCCTACGAGGAAACAGCTGCTGGATGGAGGGCACGCCTGACCCCAGGACAACCACACCCTAGCTGCTGACACTGGCAAAGATGCTGTTCCAGGGAAGCCACCGCTCAGTTCCCAGTGGATGTGGACTCAGGAGCAAGCAGGGGTGCCTGCCGAGGGCCTCCCCAGCAGGGCTCCAGGCTGGCCGCGTCTGCGACACTGTGGGCCTTGGCCTGACCCTACTGCACCCACACGCTTACCTGTCACCGCTGACAGTCACGTGTCCCCACCTGCAGGTACAACCTCCTGTTCTTCGCCTCCGGAGGGGGCAAGTTCAACTACCAGGGCACCAAGCGCTGGCTGGAGGACAACCTGGACCACACAGGTGAGCAGCCCGGGCAGGACAAGCAGGAGGCGCCAGGGAAGGGGGACCCCAGCCCCCGGTTCCTGTAGCCCCCACACGAGCCCACACTGCCCCCCAGACTCCAGCCTGCTGCAGGACAACGTGGCCTTCGTCCTGTGCCTGGACACCGTGGGCCGGGGCAGCAGCCTGCACCTGCACGTGTCCAAGCCACCGAGGGAGGGAACGCTGCAGCACGCGTTCCTGCGGGAGCTTGAGACGGTGGGTGTGGGGGTGGGGTGTCCGGCTGGGCGCCTCTGTCTCCCCGCCTGTGGAAAACTGCACAAACCGGGTCCTCCAGTGAGCCCCAGGGTGGCCGCCCCTCTACACCTGCGGATTCTTGGTGTGGGCAGGGCTGGGGGGGGCCGAGGTGGGTGGGGCTAAGGGTGGGTGGGGTCGCAGACTGGCAGAGCTGGGCCGGGCCTAGGAGCCGGGCCTCTGGTGCTGGCTCCCAGCCACCTTCTTCTGGCCTCTGCCCCTCAGGTGGCCGCCCACCAGTTCCCCGAGGTGCGCTTCTCCATGGTGCACAAGAAGATCAACCTGGCGGATGATGTGCTGGCCTGGGAGCACGAGCGCTTCGCCATCCGCAGGCTGCCGGCCTTCACGCTCTCCCACCTGGAGAGCCACCGCGACGGGCAGCGCAGCAGCATCATGGACGTGCGGTGAGCACCTGGCTCTCAGCACCTTCTAGAAGGGCAGCTTCTGGAACCGTCCCTGTGGCTGAAGTGCTAGGAGCTTCCCCCTTGGTCCTGGAGCCCGGAGTCCGCGGCCCAGCTCTGAGCAGGTTGGATCGCCTGCCTGTCCCAGCTCTGAGGGCTCTGTGAGTCCCTTGGTGTGGCCGAGTCACCCCGAGCACGTGGCCCTCCCTGTATCCTCTCTGAGGACCCCGTCCCTGGAGCCTCACCTTAACGGGGCCCCTGCAAAACCTGCTTCCACGTAGAGCCCTACCCTGAGGCTGAGAGTTTTGTGGGCACCGTTCACCGCGCTGCAGAGGAGGTGGACGCGGGTGCTGTGATTGCCCCATCTTCCAGATGAGAAGCTGGGGCCAGGCAGCTTCCGAGGCGGGCGTGGCGCGGTCCCCAGAGCCTCTGTGGGGCCCTGACCTGTGCCGAGGAGGTGGCCACGCTTCCCAGCCCTGCCGGCCCCATCAGAAGTGGCCCTGTTCTCGGGTGACCACTGTCCCCCTTTCAGGTCCCGCGTGGACTCGAAGACACTGACGCGCAACACGAGGATCATCGCTGAGGCGCTGACACGGGTCATCTACAACCTGACAGAGAAGGTGAGGCCCCGCCCCCGGCCCACCCTTGGCCCCGCCCTTGGTCCCCGCCCCGCGGCCCCGCCCCCGCCCTTCCCGCTCAGGGCCTGTCCTTCTCTGCAGGGGACGCCGCCCAACATGCCAGTGTTCACGGAGCAGATGGTGAGTGAGCACCACCGGCTGGAAGGGGGGGGGGTGTGGGGCGTGGGGACAGGGCCGCCGTGACCCGGCCGTGTCCCTGCAGCAGGTCCAGCAGGAGCAGCTGGACTCGGTGATGGACTGGCTGACCAACCAGCCGCGGGCCGCGCAGTTGCTGGACAAGGACGGCACGTTCCTGAGCACGCTGGAGCACTTCCTGAGCCGCTACCTCAAGGACGTACGGCAGCACCACGTCAGGGCCGACAAGCGGTGAGCGCGGCCTCCGCCGTCCCGAGGCAGACTGGGGCTGAGGGGGGGGGGGCGCAGGTGCCCGGGAGCCCTGGGCCTCAGAGGGTCGAGGTGATGTAGTCCATCCTGTGCCGTATTTCCGGTGAGCTTACATGCTGTGATCGGAAATGCGGTGAAGGTTTAGACTTTAAAAAATGATGATGGTAATTATGACCCAGCCCCGAATGCCCAGACTCTGGGTCCTTGGTGTATCCCGTGTTGCCAGGCTCCTGGGCAGCAGCGGCCCAGGGTCTTCTGGGAGGAGGGGAGCCGCTGGCCGGAGGTGTGCCAAAGAGCCCCCACCCCTGGCCACGGGTCCCCTTCCTCCCCAGCTGGGGCACTCAGCTCCAATGGGACACAGAGGCCCTGTCCAGAAGCCCAGGCTCAGACTGGACCCACAGCTGTGGCACCAGGGGCTCTCATTCCTATGCTGTGGTCGTCTCCAACTATAGAAATATTTTCCACAAATGGCCATGCCTGTGATTCTAGCATTCTGGAGGCTGAGGCAGGAGGATCACAAGTTTGAGTCCAGGATGGGTAATTTAGTGAGATGCTGTCTCAAAATTAAAAATTAAAAATAATAAAAAAGAAGTATTAGGGCCAGAGATGTGGCTCAGTGGTTCAGTGCCTGCCTGGCAAGCACAAGGTCCTGAGTTTAATTCCTGGTACTGGAAAAAAGTATTTCCCAAGCCAATTTTAACTAGTCATTGATTTGTTTTTTTTTTTATTTT